AGAGAGAGAGAGAGAGAGAGAGAGAGAGAGAGAGATCTCCAATATTTCCAACTACATTTTTCTTCTTTTATACAGTTTTGTGAAAAATTTTCGAAGCTTTTTTTTGACACATCTCCAATTTAAAATTATTATAATTATTCATTTACTATTTAAGTTTTTCACTTTGCTTAGCAAAGAAGTCATAATACATATCCAAAGATTATTAGATTTTTAATGATTATAACACCTGAAATATAAATTATATTCGTAGCTCGACTACATATGATATTTATTGCTTTAGATTTAATGTTGAAATATTTTAATCTTTTTTTGCGATGATCCAAAGATCATAAAAGCCATAGATGACATAATAATGGACGATAACACAGGACTCGATGATCTGGATGGCATCAAGTGCAAATTGCAAATTTGCGATGGACTTCTCGCTTTTTGGAAGAAATGCGTGGAACGCGTTTCTGCCCTCGAAAAGGTTCAAGCTGCCTACGTAGCATCGTTATGCAATATTTTACCAGAAACGACGAGAATGATTTTTGAACATTGCAAAACCAGGTATTTGGCTGCAGATATCGTTACGTTTTATCAAATGATAAATGACGTGATTATCTTAACTTCTCAGAGAAACATAATTAAATGTTTATATTGTGCGAACTTCCTTATTAGAAACTGACTAAACGTCCAGTCAAGTGAATGATTGATAAATAAATGTAAATCAATCAATAATTAGCCTTTATTATTATATTTATTTTTACTATTATGTTATTTTATTCTCATATTTTTGTTTAATTTAAATTTTTTTTGTTATTATAATTTTTATTTATTATTTAATATATTTATTTTTATAATCTCTTGTTGTTATGTCTGATCACTAAAGCTGCAACACAAACTTTTGCATAGTGCGTAAGAGAATCAGTCAAAGTTTCTCTTTTCCATAAAATAGAAGGAAAAAGGAAGGATTCTTATCGATTGATTCTCTTATATATACTATGAGTTATTATGCGCAAAAGTCTGTGTATTGCGGCTTTTATTATATTTTATATATATTATTATATTTCTTTATTAATATCATCGAAGATATTCTTTTATTAATAAATAAATAATTGTTAGCCATTTGTATGACACTTTATGGAACAAGCTGTCGTTTATATACTAGTACAGGAATAATGAAGTATTATTAATCATGCAGTCCAAAATATGGAGCGCTATTGGACGGTGTGATGCAAGAATTGAAGAATCTGTTTGCAAAAGCAAGCGAGGTCTTCAAGCTATTCTTTGCCACTTTGAACGGCGTAATCGTCTTCGACACGGACGTGCAATCGGAAACGGAGCTGTTGACGAAAGGTGAGAACGATCCCATTACGCTCTAACGACTTTTTAACCCGAGATCTACTTCCAATCTTATCTTGAACGCATGCATTATTAAGGATTCTTCAGTAATAGGAAATATACTATATAATATACATATATATATGTATAACAAAAGGAAACAAAAAAATTCTTCTGTAACTCTCGAAATTAATAATGAATTAAAGGTACGTATGAGAGTGAAGTGCAGTAATTAGAGTGCAGTAAGCGCGCCCGTTACAAAAGAAATATAATTGTTACTTCAAATATAATGTAATATCTTGCTATATAGACAGCCTCCTGGATTGACAGATCCGCAGTGACATCGTAGTTAAACAGAAAGTTTGTGTTTATGATAGAAAGAAATGATCATTACAAAGAATCGGGATAATCAAATACAAAAAAATTCTATATATGTGTGTTTGCAAAGATTCACAAATTAAGTATCTTAAAAATTACGAAAAATTACTTAGAAACGCGTGTTATTTAAAAAATACAGAGAGTCTCTCGCTAAGCACAAAGCGCAAGTTTCTTGCAAGTTTTTTTTGTCAATTTTCTTTTAACAGAAAAGTGATGCTCGATCTTCTCTTTTCTTCTATATGTGTGTATTCCTTTATATTTGTCAAAGAATTTATTTAATTGTAATCTCTATGTTTTTTTGTAATATTTTTGTGTAATCTCTAATTTAATAAATCTTTTCCTTTTTAATAACTGTATTGATTTCTTAGTGGTCGATGCTTACGGTAACATTGCTTCTATTGCGAATGGAATGGATACTAAGACATTTGTTGAGTTATCCGAAGCATTCTCCAAGCTGGCCATTGTTTATCAGAACGAAATTAAATCAAACAACATCATGACATGTCTCATTCAAATGGCAAAGGATACGTCTTGCCTTTTTTCTGTTATCAAGGTATTTGAACTAAACTATGTAATTCATACATTTATATATTGTTATTTATTAATTAGTAATAATTAAAGATTAATGAACTATTAATTAAATTAAATATGTATATTATTTATATTTTTATCATTAGTAGTAATTATAAATGTACGTTGTAATGATACAGGATCAGAATGATAAGAGCGCAGAACGAAATGTAATAGTTGCTATGCGCTTGCTAAGAATCCTTGAGAAATTAACATCATCTTACGATGCCTCTCTCACTCATGAAATGACGTCAAACTTAATAGAACTTCTGACACGAATGCACGGGTGACAATTTTATTATTAATCATCAATTTATTGAAATAAAAATCGGCTTCAATGATTGTAAAAATTTCTTTCTATTATATGTAAAATTATTATACGTAGAGTTATATGTATATCATATTATAGCATTACCTATAGAGATATAAATAAATAATATTTAGGAAATTATTACTTTTTTTTACAGATACTGCTGCTTAACAAAAGGTAGCGAGAAAATCTTGGCCGGCGCTGCGTCTTTTTTGAATATAATTTTTAATCATACTGATTTTAAACAGGTACGTGATTACATAAACATAAAAAGGGGCATTAAAGAAATAAGGTAAATCATATTTAAAAAATTTAATTATTTTACCACTTATAAAATAATTCTTAATTTCTAATTCTTTATATATGGTGGTATAAACTGTAAAATAATTTATACAAAACATGACGAATTTTTAAATGTACTATATTTAACAATTGAAGAATTATTTTGTCCTTATATTTGCCGAACTATATATATAACTAATAAAAATGCTTTGAAAACAAAGGGAGAAAGAGGGAGAGAGGAAGAGAGGAAGAGGAGGGGAAAGAGAGAAATACATTTATGTATTACATGTATTCTTTTATATATTATTTTCACATTTTCTTCTGTAATAAAAAGCAGAAATTGATTTTTGATTAAATAATATGATTATAATTATTTTGTGTTTCAGGTATATTTTGAATACGGAAAGCAAATTGTTCCATGTAATCAGTATATAGATAGATTAAATTATCATTTACTAACGATTGCTATCATGAATAAATTGAATAGCATTCCATATGAACATCACTGTAAATGGTTTTTAGGCTCAGATTCGATTTTGGATGTTGCTTTCACATTTATAGATTATCGTAAGTAAGAAAAAAATAAAAATAATTATAAAAATTTTAACAATTCTTATTGTAAGAAGGACTTTAAAAATTTCAATAGAATTTTAAGGATATAAGATTTTTAATAATTAAAAAAATTATTTTAAAAAAATTTGAAGTTTTAAAATGAGAGAAACTACAACTATAATTACGCACATTACATTAATTTAGTAACCGCATTTCCTAGCAAGAAATGTTTTGTCAAATTAATTTTGAATCGATATTGATATGATGATTTCGACGTCAATTGGACCGATTAAACATCGATTTGATGTGTAATAGATTTTTCACTGGGTTTGATTTGCACTTTCTTTTACTATTCCAAACTCATAGTTAATGAAGTAAATGTTAAATCTGTCTCAATCGTTTATTCTTTCTCGATTGTAGTTGAAGAAGAAATTTGCGCTGAAGATTTACGACTGTCAAGCGTTTGCGGGATTGGCGAACGAATACGTTTCGTTAGTATTTATGAGGCAACTTTGGTATCCGTTTGCAATTTGGCCAGTCAGATTCCCCCGGAAGGCTTTCATGCTCTCGAATTGTTTCTACTAAAACATTTACTGTCTGATCATTTTTGGAGTTCCCTATTAAGCTCGGATGTTTGGTGCTTCATTGGCAGGTAAGCCACAGACTTCAACAAATTTCTATATTATATATTCTATACTATATATATATATATGGATTTTTATAGACTTCTATACATATTAATTGATACTAAATGAAAATAAATCGATTTAATGATAATTTCTTATATAAAATTATTTATTTAAGACTTGGCTCTTCACAATTGTGCGTCGATCATATTAAACATCTGATTAAAATTTCCGCCGCCTTGGTAGAACGACATAACAGCATAGAAGCAATTATGCTAGATAACATGATCATCAGATTGTACGATTTACTAAACGAAGACATGAAATCCACTTTGATTGATAACCTTATCGATCTGGATACGGATTATCCTTCTATCCTGTATTTGTTAATGGCAGAGACCAAATTTCTTTCATCGGAACGATTAAAGCATAAAATCGAAGATTTACCGAAGGCTTTCTTAGATTTGCAGGAACATCCTTCTACTTGTAATTGGAAACGACTTGTAAGACGATATACTGAATATATTAATAAGTTTGTTCGCTTGTTTTTGCTATAAGAAATTTGATAATTATATAATTTTATAATTAACATAGTTGTAATTTATTTAAAAATTTGATAATAAATTTATATTGAACATTTGTATTGATTTTCAGAAGCAGATCTTGTCCGTTATGATAGCAGTGAATTACAATGATAACGAAGATGTTATTAACGTTTTAACTAAAATATGGAGTTTCGTTGCAGATGCGATTATTGACTGCGAAGACAAACATCTGGATCTACTGTCTGATTTAATTGTTATTTTGCTAGACGCTACTCGTTTCAAGCATCTTCATGATGACAGCTTTTGTATGGTATAACACAAATATATTTTGTCTGTCTAATTATTTATTAACTGAAGTACTTCTTTGGTAACAGCATAAATTGCAAGATATTAGGTATATGTTTGTTTAATTTTAGATTCTTACGTCTGTCACAACTGTAGGCGTTTATCTACCGCCTCAAGGCAAAATCAAGATCTGTCATTTTCTGCGACAGAATGTTGAGAGTCTTAGTCATTGCAGTGTTTTAAGCGTTACATCTACTTTGATTGAATTGTTTAGTTATTTACTAGAAGATAAGGATCCTTGGGTATGCCAAGAAGCTCTGGAGACCTTTGAGGACGTAGGACATATGTGTTTGGAGCAACTAGTCGCTGAAATAGCGAAGGCTTTAGCAAAGATACCCAGCATCAGCGATATTATGCAAGCCTACTTATCCTTGAGACCATACTATAATTTTAAGAGTTTTACGGACATACAAGATTATCTTAGATATTTGGCTAAAGCTGTTCAAAATCATGACGATGAGCACAAATGCCATGAGTACATTGTAAGTATGATAAAAATAACTTGAACTAAAAAAATAAAAGATAAAAGATAATTATTTACTTCAAAGTTTTTATATATTTTTTTAAATTTAAATTTTAATCTAAATTTAATTTTAATTTTTATCTTGTGCATAACCAGATCCAAACATCTGTAATGATATGTAATGTAAGTTCATTTTATATTTACTGTGCCTAAATGAAATTATGCCATTATTATAAGTTCTTTGAGGAACAAAATAATTTTAATTTAATATATTTTTTATATGTGTAAATAACCGATAGTGTATGTGTGTTTTGAACATAATTATATAGAAAGATCAAGATAAGACTCTTTATAAATAATAGGAACATTATATATCTATAAATATATAAATAATGTAACAAAATGCAAAATAAGAAATTCTAATAATGATAAACGAATACAAGGAATCCGAGAGAAAAGACAAGATGCCGAAATTGGAGGAGGGGAAAAACTCGTGTGAAATCATCGTGCCAATGTTAATACAGTTGGACGGACAAGCAGAGATGCTGTACAAAGGATTGATAAAGGTTTTAGAAGATCAGGCTGTTATCAGCGAGGCGATGTGCAGGAGATTGATAACCATTCTTGAAAAAATTCTTCGAGTCCAGGAAAACAAAAATTCCCAGAACTGATAGTTCGTCTTTGCGATATATTATAAAAATGGATAGTCTTTTTATCAGTGATAAAGATGAAGCAACAGCTTATCAAAATAGTAATAAAGTAATTGGAAAAAGGACAAAATATATATAATCAATAAATATAAAAATATGGAAAAAAGATTGTATCAAATAACAATGAAAACAAAGAATAAAGACAGACTTAAACGTTTATATATGCAATTTATTTTCTTTTACACATTTTTGTTACGATTTCATTTGGAAGAATAATAGATAAACAATTGTAAAAAGGCAAAGAAATTAGAGAAAATGAAATAAAATAATTAAAAAATTTCTTTGTAGTACACATATCGAGGATTAAAATTAAATAGTGAATAATTTTGAAACAGTTGTTTTTATTTTTTGTCACATATGTTTTCTTTTATGATAGAGGATCTGTGTTATCAAAAATGAAAATCTATATTTTAAAAAAATATTATATAAATTTTTAAAATTTTTATAATTTTGTTGACATATATATATATATATATATATATAATACAAAATTTTTTAAGAAATATCCTTCTGGAAATAGCCTTTTTGAAATTTCTCTGCCTTTTTTAAAAGTCAAATTTCATCATATATATATATTATGTATTAAATTTTACTATTAATTAAAAAAATTTGTTTATTGCACATTTTTATTCAGCTGGTTCTATAATGCATTAGTTGCACCGCAGCGTTACAAGTTTAATGCTCTAATAGTAAGTTATCTTGACTATGATTGGTCCACAATGCTTGCGATACTACTATGCAATTAATGTAGAACCAATTTTAGGATGCAGCTACAATAAAAGGTGTAAGGAATTAAGTTCCAGATATAATGCGAAAGAATAGCGATAGGAATAATATGATTTCATGTATCAGTAAACTGTGTATTCTGATATATCTGATTTCTAATAGGTTGAATTCCTATCTTTCCGTTACCGCTATTCTTTCGCACTGTGTCTGGGGCTTTAAGAATAAGGAATAAGAAATTTCAACCTATCAGAAATCAGTGTATTTCAGTGTATCCAATTTCTGAAACCCGTTATTCCTTATTCCTTTTATTGTGGCTGCAATCTTAGACGTGTTACTACAAGCCATCTGTGTGAAGTTTATTCACTGATAACAGTTACGTCCAGCAGGCTCAACTGTTGCGGAGTGGATTTATAAGCGCTTGCTGTTATTGAATGATCTAGATCTAGAAGAATATACCAATAGCAGCAAGCGCTCACGGATCCACTCCGCACATTTAAGCCTGCTAAATGCGACCAATGACTAATTCAGTTACTACACGTATATAAAAGCAGAAAAGTTGACTAGCACTCACTATAACGCAGTCTGATTCAATATCTAACATCGTAACTTTATTTGTATCATAGCTTTGCAGAAAGTAATCAGTAAAACAAAATAATTATTAATAAAAAAGGTATAGCAGTTCTGATATTACAATAATTTAAATTATTGGAGAACGTATTGCATAGTCCTTGTGAATATCGCTGTATAAATTCGTGCAGTAGTGTTGTTATTTGTAGTTTCTGCATATTTTATTTGGTAAGTGCAGTAATAAACACACAGTTACAGTAGGTTCGTTTAGATATAGAGTACAGAATTTAATGTATTATTGATAATATATATAATTCAAACAAATCGGAAGTGAATCGGTATAAAATAGTGTATTTTTTTTAAAAGAATTTTTATATAGTTTTTTAATACAAATTTTTTGCTTTGCAATTTTTAAAGTAGAATCATTACAAAATTCAATAAATTACAAAATAAACTTTGCAGTTAATTTGATGTTATTTAAATATCACAATATTAAATATTGTAAAATATTCACCCTCTTTGTTAATAATTAGTATATTTTACGAAAAATATTTCAATTTTTATATCAGAATAAAGTATAGATTATATTAGACAAAAGAATTAAATTATTTCTTAATTATTTATTTATCTTCTAATAAAGATTATATCTTTAAAAAAAGATGAATTAAATTAATTTCTCTTTATATTTAGACATTATATATCGAACAGCAAAAGAATTAATTAAAAAATTTTATTTATATAGAAAGATAAAACATGAAAAATTTTCTTTTATTATTAGTTTTTTTTTTCCAATATTTATGCATTTATTATAAGAACTATATTCTACATATTTATTATAAGAAGCATAAAAAAATCGGTGAGCATAAATAAATTTTTTATCAATTTAATAGAATTAATAAAAACACAGTATCTTCTAACATAAAATTTAATGATTTGCTTTTTTTAAACACCGTTTGATTAATACTTATAATTAATTTGAATCTTTTACATTAAACTATAAACAAAGAGCATACAACCACAGCGCTAGTTATAATGAGCGAATGTTCTTTATTCAAAATAAACGTTAAATTTGTCTAAACGTTTCGGTCTATTTTAGACTATCATCAATAAAAATCATTACAATTAAAGATATTCCAAAATCATACAATCATCGCAAGAGTACAATTACACAATCCGCCGTCCTCGCATTTTTTAAACAATACAAAAGGATTGCCAATTTCAATCGACGAAAGAAACAAGCACGTAATAACATTTTATTATAAAAAAATGCGAGGACGGCGGATTGTGTAATTGTACTCTTGCGATAATTGTATGACTTTAGAATATTTTTAATTGTAATGATTATTACTGATGATGGTCTAAAATAAACCGAAACATCTAGACAAATTTAACGTTTATTTTGAATAAAGAACATTCGCTCATTATAAAACTAGCGCTATGGCTGCAGTATGCTCTTTGTTTTGTTTTTATTTTATATTCTAACATAAAACATACTTATATTATTTTACTTATAATAAATATTTATTTGTAATAAATATTGTCTATTCTTAAAATTAATAGCTGATATTATAAAACTTTTTTAAGAAAATTCTATAAATGCACTTTGTTAAATATATTTATAAATATTTTTCGTTGACACGTCTATATTACGTACGAGGAAATTATATAAATTTTTTTATATATATAAAAATCGGAATATTCGTAAGAATTAGTCCAAGGTTCATAATGGTTGTTACGTACTATATCTCTTATCTAATACTAAACTTAATAAAGTGATTACAAATCCATAGTTATTGATATACCGTGCAAATGACGATTGAAGAAAATTTTAGAAAATATCTTTTTTACTCTATCTTTTTTTTTTACGGCTATTCATATTGTATAATGCATGAATTCTGAGAAACGGAAGAGTTAAAAATCCATATCAATAAGTGCAATCTTGAGAACAAGTATAAATATAATATTTAAGTTGAATATTCTTTACATCCATCATATATTAGGTATTTGTTTTATCACTTAATGTTTTATTGCAAGTAACAGTATTTATCATAATTATTTATCATAAATGTTAATAGAATTTAATACATGTATAATAAAAAGATTAATTTAACTAAAAGTATCAAAAGTAGCGAGTTTTTAGTTCACAAAATATTACACTTTAAGAGAGAAATTATCTTCATTGCATATAGGATAATAAAAAATTCTTTTATCCTTATTTATATTTTAATAATAAATATTGCGCAGCGGTGATACATTATAATACAAAACTGCTAATTACGAGTAAAAGAAAGTGCGGATAAAAAGAAATGTGTCTAAACAGCAGAAATCACTTGATATCGATTATTACAATATATTGTATTACTCGCTTTTCGTTTTCATCAGCATTTTCATAAACAGATAGCATGACGATATTAGTGAGTTCTATAAATAAACAGGATTGGGTAAAATAATTTTTTTATTTTAATTAGATTAAGTTAAAGTTAACAGCTTTAAAAATTTAATTTAAGATACAATTTAAAATTGTAGATTAAGGTACAAGTTAATCCATATTAAAATTAATTAAATTAGAAGTTAAGAAGCTGATAAAAAAAATTAGATGTGCAAAATAGTTCTGAGCTTTTCTGCAAAATTCAATTTTTATTTAAAAACAAACAAAAAGATATTAATCAATGAAATATTCCCCGTTTGCATCAATGACTTTTTACCATCTTGCGGATTTCTTGTTGATAAAAGTTTACCGCCTTCGAGGCGATGAAGTCATCAATGCATTTTCGTATTTCTGTAAGTGTCACGAAATGTAATCGAAAGGCTGTCTGTGCTATACACCGCGTGCAGAAGTTCTCAGCCTAATGCAAAGATATGGTCCTCGGTATCGATCATGAAACTTTTTCTCTAGGATGAAAAGTGAAAAGCGAAAAATATCTCCATTAATTTCAACGATAAAAATTTTCACTTTTCATTTTCCATATCCTAGAGACCTAGAGAAAAAGTTCAGATCAATACCCTGAGTCACTTTTGCGACATGTGGTCGAACATTGTTATGAAGCAGGATCACTTTATGACGTCCTGGGTATCGATCATGTAACTTTTTCCCTAGAATGAAAACGTAAAAAATGAAAATTTTTTATATGTGTGTGTATATGTATGTTCATACATACATTTATAACAGTTTTCACTTTTCACGTTTCCGCTCTCTGGAGAAAAAGTTACATGATTGATATCCTGGCCAGTAAATGGCTTCTTTTCTTTTAACGCATCGCTATAATTGATTAATTGTTCTTGATGACGTGTGTCTGCCGTGATTGTTTCACCCAGCTGTGATGACTCATAATACAACATATACCTTTCCAATCCCACCAGATGCAGAGCAAAATCTTCTTAGTATGGATATTTGACTTTGGCGTCGATGTCTAAGATTGACCAGGTCAACCCATGATTTTTTACGCTTCGGGTTATCATAAAGAATCCACTTTTCATGGTCTGTAATGATTTTGGACAAAAAATCTTTCTTCTGGAACTTTGAAACCAAACTGAGTGCGGTGTCACGCCGTCGATTTTTATTGTCTTCGGACAGATGCGGGCATCTGCCTTTCTTCTGAACTTTTCCCATGCCTAGGCCCATATGCCTATGATCCGATCCTGATGATTAACGCCAAGCTACTCTGGGTTATGTTCAGATTTCCACCTTAGTGCTATCCAAATATCATTCTATCCTTACTGTTTACCGAATGTTAAACAAGGATGACATGACATTCGGGAAGCACTCAGGCGAGAATCTGAACACGCCTCTGCAAGCTCTTTTTACGAGTCCTTTTCAGTTTGCGCAAAGTGTATATCCAACAATGCTTGCAATTCGTCTGTTTCAATTTTTTGAGAGCGTCCAGTACGCGGTTTATCTTCAAGACTAAAATCTCCTTGGCGAAATTTTTAATTTATACCATTTTGTACAACGTAGCATGACTTACAGCATTCTCTCCATATCACAAGCAGCACAATAAATCATTTCAATGGCTTCAGCAACATTTTTCTTCAGATGAAACGCGAAGTGGATATAAACTCGAATATGCTATTTTGTTATTGCCATCGTGAACTCTACTGATTTTTAAGATTATGTGCATTAAACGCTAAACCGCATAATTTTAAAATGTAAAATGTCAACGCTTTAAAACCGCAAAAAGACGGGAAAATAAATAAAATTTAAATTGTGGTTTCGATTGTATGAAATTTAAGCTCAGAACTTTTGTGCTCATCTATTATAATAAAAAGTTAAAAGTTGAATTTATTTTATTTCATTAAGAAAAGAACAGTTTTATAGTAAAATAGTACAATTGTATGAATTTTGTGGATAATTTTCTTGATCATTCTTCTAACAAAAATGGGCAATTTTTTTTGTAAATTCAAAAGTGCCATCTTCCTAAACTTGCCGATCGTATGCATTGGATGCGTTGGATGCATTTCACTTTAACGCTCGCGAGCATCATTTTATCTTTGTTTAATATTGGAAAACGATAAAGATATGAAATGATGTTCGCGAACGTTGCAAACGTTAAATGGAACGCATCAATTGAATACATCGTGGCAACAACAAAAAAACTTTGCTTTTTTTCGTGTAGGATATCGTCAAAAGTGAGCAGTTGCGGTTACGACGCCTTTACTTATGGCATGATTAAAGCTACAACGTGAAGGAATAGCGATAGAAAAATAAAGAATAATAGATTTTGATCTATCAGGATATATCGGAATATATGCACAATCTCTGATAGATTATTGAAATCTATATTATTTCTATCACATTATCGTTATTCCTTTTTTCGTATGTAATTAACTTTTTAACTTATTAACACTATTCAATCCTGATAATATGTATACTAAAGCGCGTAAGGAATGAAAACGTCTCAAAAATGCTTTCAATTAAATATAATAATTATATCAAACGTAAATGTAATTAAAATTGCACATTAGTTATAATTAAATCGCTTAATGTATTGAGTTTTCTCGATAATTTGTATTACGGAAAGTTTAAACTTTAATATAAGTTATAAGTCTTTCACATACTTATCTAATATAATAGGGAAGAATGGTCTAAATCGGACTTATTTGCAGTTTTTGTTCTCTATAAGGCGTAAATAAAATCCGATCATAAAACCAATGGTGCCGTTCGAAAGATCATTTAATTTCCTTCAGATCATTTTGATTATTATCTCTTACCTTACCTATATCGAACTATAATAGAAAATGTAAAAATGCATTTTTCCGTCCGATTTGAAATTATGAGTTTCAAATCAGACCTCTCCTATTTTTATGGACTTTTAGATAGAATTTTAAAATATTTTAATTAATTTTTATTAGTATTGAATAAAAACGAGCAATTTAAGACTCAAAGATAAAAATACAGTTTATATTATTAGAATTAAAATCAATAAAAAATTCCATCAATATCTGAATCTGATGACACATGATATTTTATTGATTTAGTATTCCAATTAGATTAGATCTGATCGGTCAATCACTAGTACTACAACCAGGTTATGGCGAACCTTCTTTCTTCAATGAATTAACTGGCTTACTCGTCTTTTTAGTGTTTTTTGTATCTATAGGTTCGATTTGGATACTCAAAGAGACACGGGAATTCTTTTGAATGATTGGAACAAATTTTACAATAAACCGCTCTTGATATTTTTGAATTCTACACTCTTTAATTATCTTAAATCAATCACCGTTCAAATTTTTAACATCTTTTAAATAATGATTTAAAAGGATTTTCTTTTTTAAAAAAATTTTCGCATGATAGCCGAAAATACATATTTGCGTCTATTCTATGAATGTTATGACAGAGTACTGCCAAACTTCCGTCACATGTTCGGTGTCTTAATAAGGACTTTACATTATAAATAGTATGCAAATCTGCTTAACCGTATTTATTTAAAAATTGTCAATGAAATAAAAAGGCAATTCAGAGTCAATATTATATGTGTGAACTAATAAACCATTTAATATATTATAAATTAAAATAAAATAAAAATAAACTATAAAATTCACACTATAAATGCGCACGCAAACAAAAGTCAAACCATAACGTTTCGGCTGCATATTCGAACCATCCTCAGATGTACATATAAATATTAATTAACGCAGTAAAACATCTTTAGTTAACGCAGAAAAAACAAGAATAAAACTATGATGGAATTTATAAAAGCCATCACATTTATTTTAGATTCAACTTATTTTACTTTTGACAATATCATTTATAAACAAAATTTTGGGACATTGATGGGCTCTCCGTTGTCTCCCATCGTTGCAAATTTGGTTATGCAAAGACTAGAAAGAACTGCCTTGATGTTGTATAAAGACAACGTTCTCTTTTATTTTCGATATGTTGACGACTCGTGTGCGGCTGTCCGAGGTTCTGAGATTGATTCTTTTTTTAAGACTTTCAATTCTTTTCATCCACGGTTACAATTTACGTTAGAAATCGGAACAAATTCTTTAAATTTTCTTGACATTTCGATCATTATCAAAGACAATAACTTATTTTTCGATTGGTACCATGCAAAAACCCACTTTTTCGGGTAGATTTCTCAATTTTTATTCAAACCATCCATTATCACAAAAGAAAAGTATAATCATTGGTTTAGTAGACAGAGCGTTAATATTATCACATCCAATGTTCCATAGTAATAATTTAATATTTATTATAAGAATTTTAATTGAAAACGATTATCCTCTAAAATTAATTTTTGATTGTATCAATGACAGGATCAAGAACATTGCACACGATAGTTCAAATAATAACAATGGTTTAAATGACAATAATAAGGGAGAATCATTGGAGCTTCCTTCATGGTTTATAGTACCATATGTACCGAGACTTACAGATAAATTCAAACAATTTAACAGAAACAATATCAAGATGGCATATTATAGTTCTAATAAGCTAAGAAAATATATTAGAGTACATAAAGATCCACTTGATTATCTGTCTAAGACTAATGTGGTATATAAGATAAATTGTAACGACTGCGATGCGTCTTATGTGGGACAAACAGGAAGGAAATTAAAAACACGAATTGCAGAACACCGTAATCACATTAGATGGAATACGAGCTCTAAATCGGTGATAACAGATCACAGATTGAAAAAAACAGCAAAACAGTCTTAACCTACAAACAGACACATTAGATCTACATGAAGCATATATTCCTATTATAAACAAGATATGACTTTGCATTACCAAAATTTTAAACATTTATAGTTTTGTACATCGAGTTAGTTGGACGGTTATAAAAGTTTTATATTTCGGACGACTTGCATTTGCAATGTGTTAACAAAATAATGATTTTGATCGTCACCGAATTTTAATAAATGACTCTTTTAACGACATAGATTACTCGAGGGTGAGTTTTTTGTCAGAGGGACAATTGCTTGTCACATTATTTTATTAATATAACGTTAATTTTCTGTCCTCATTAGTACCACAGGGATACATCACAAACGATCTTCCAATCGCTTGATGAGCTAAATTGTTCTCTCTGTGGAAATACTCAACGTTTTAGAACATAACACTCCATCATAGTTTTATTCTTGTTTTTTCTGCGTTAACTAAAGATGTTTTACTGCGTTAATTAATATTTATATGTACATCTGAGGATGGCTCGAATATGCAGCCAAAACGTTATGGTTTGACTTTTATTTGCGTGCGCATTTATAGTGTGAATTTTAGTATATTTTTATTTTATTTTAATTTATAATATATTAAATGGTTTATTAGTTCACACATATAATATTGACTCTTAATTGCCTTTTTATTTCATTGACAATTTTTAATACTAAGAGTCCTGTATATTCGTTCTATTTTAAATTTACGTATTTATTTAAATTAAAAATCCAATTTGGATTACGGTCTAATTTAGGATATTCTAAAATATAAGTATTTTACGACAAAAAATGTTTCTTATACAATTTTGTTATTACAGAGATTTACAAAAGACAAAAATTTGTTAATATCCAAAAGATTTAAATTTTTCTTGAATACCCCGGCAAAAGAGAAAGAGGCGAGTACTGCAATTTTATTTCGAAATTTTATTTTACTTTTATTCAAAATCTAATTTTTAAATTTATTTTAAATCTAAATTATAATACTTTCTAATTTTATTTAAAATATAAACAAATTTATATTTTTTGTATTTTATATAGAGAGATTTTATATAATTGTACATTTAATTCTATTGTATTACTTGTAACAATGGTTGTATAACATAAATATAATTTTAAACTAATTTTAAATTTTGTAAATTCAGCAAATTGTGCATACGATGATGATGCAAGTTGAAAATATTAACAAGTTTCTATCCGATGATACCGTATTCAATTTAATAAACAGTAGATTCATAAGTATGAATCCTGATGACGTAAAGTGTAATAATGTGCACTTGGAAAAGGTATCATAAAAATCTTTCCATTAAAACTATATCTTAAATTACTATATCCTAAACGTTGATTTCTTGTACATTGTAACATATCCTGCAGATTTTTAACAAATTATTAGACGTTATGCGAAAGCAATGTCCGCTGTTTGATAAAACATTTCAAAAAATTGAGTGGGCTGGTAGTTATTATAAAGGAACTCGAGTTGGACAGCCTGAAGAATATGATTTAAATTTTGTGATCGATTTGCCCTTCAAAGAAAAAGATCTAGAGGTAATATTATTTTTTAAATTAATTATGCATATTATTGAAGATTTAAGTTTGAGAGAGAGAGAGAAGATATTATCAATTATTATTTATGTGAAAAATTCTTCTTTAGATCTTTGATTTAATTTGATGTAAAGTTATTACTTTTCAGTTGTATCAATTTGTATATTATTTAACATAGTATTAATTAACTTTTTAAATTTAAATTTTGGATAAAGGAGAATAAAGGAAACTACTCGAACATAAAGGCAAAGTTAAATAAAGCTGACAATTATTTATCAATTATTAGAAGTCTTTATTCAAAAGATACTCCAGTTATTTAGCTTTAAATTATAAAATAATTTACATTAATTTATCAGTAATATTTATATTATTAATATCTACTATAATTTAAAAAAAACAATGCCCTTTCATAATTATCTGCTGTTACACGAGACAGTGCCAAATTGATTTTGTTCTAAAATTATGGTTTTATTATATATTAATAATATTAAAATGTTAATTATATTGTAGTTTAAAGCCAATATCTTATAAATTTCTATAACTCATGAATATATATTTCTTAATTTTATTTAATTTAATTTGCTGCAATAGTATATCGTTTGCGGTTATTGTTCGCAACCCCGTGTTTGCAATTCCCTACCCTTTCCTATATAGATATTATTATCCTTATATATGTACATATTTAAAAAATTTTAACATAAATTTAAAGTATATAAAATAATAAAATATAGATATATATGTATAATGAAAATGAATATATATATATGATATAATAGGTAAAATATATAACATATGAATATTTTCTTATTTATTCTCAATGCAGTTTTCTATGATGAGATATATCTCATCATACGCACAAATAAATATTAATATTATACATATATATAATTAATACTTAAACTAAAATATTGATTGTATGTATTTCAGTTTAGCACAGATCGACCCGGGTTTACTAAAATACGCGTTGTTAGAAAAGACAGATTAAATATGGATCCGGATTCGGAAGCATATAAGTATAAATATATTATATTTAATAGAACACTATTTTCAATATAATTTATGAAATGAAAGAAATAAAAGGTCAATTTTTTGTTTAGAAAATTAAAGTCCTTCATTGACGAGGAATCATATCTAAACCAAGAAGAATTCCGTGGATGGATAGAGGGAATTTTCAGTAAAGTGACCAGAACTACTAATGGAAATAATGGAATTTTAATTGATGGTTATTCATCAGCAGTAAGTAAAAAAAAAATTATAGTTTGAGCATAGTTATTGGTAGTTTAGCAATAAAATCGATCAAAATTTAAATTAATATCAATTTATACTAAGCATATATTTTAGAAGCTTGATATACATTATACATATATGTATGTATATGCAATACTATTATAAAAAATGATAATTGAATTATATATACGCGCGAAATCTGTTATTTCACCCCATCATTAAAATATTAACATTTATATATATGTATGTATAACATAAAAGAGCATAGAAAGAAGCCAGCGTCAGTTCTTAGTGCGAATTTATAACAACTAAAGTTTTGTTTATCTCTAAAAGTACATAGTGATCTTTAACATAAATATAAACGTGTGTTTCGGCCTTAATAATATTTTGTTATTATTAAATTATATATATTCAATTATTAAATTATATTAATTTTTGTTCTGTACTTTATTTTTCTATGTTCTAAAATCTAACTGAAAATGATGAAAAATGTTTAGGATTTAGGATACTAGTAAATGATGATGTAATTTTTATTGATGTCGAGAATTATAATAAACCAGCAAATTATTTTTGATACATTTGGTTATTGTCATGCAATATATAGATATATATTATATCGTGGATCATAAAATAAGGAAGCTAAAACTAGTATACTTATTGTAACTAAAATCGCATATCTTTTCTGTGTATTAGATAAAGATACATAAATCAGGACCAGCGTTTACACTAAAATTCCCACTTCCTGAAGGAAGAACCATCAACATCGATATAGTTCCTGTTTTAGCTTTTTCGGTTTCTACTTTGCCACCAAAGTGTTCAAAATACAACGTATTACAAGTACGTAATAAAAAAATTATAATATCAGACTGAAGCAAAACACTCTGGTGGAAAAATTTGTCTGTAATCAAAATGTGTCAGAGAATTCGTTAATTTTCGACAAAACACATTATCCGAAATAAGCGAGAAGAGTCGTTTTGTCGGAAAAGAAAATTCGAAATTTTTTTAACATATGTTTCCGTAAATTTTAACAATACTAAATATGTTAGAAAAAGTTGCATTTGCTGGAAAAGAGTACTCAAAATTAATTCTTAAACAAACCCACCTTTACAATTGGATAAATTCCTGTATAAAGTATCCCTAATTTCACCAAAAAAATGCAGACATTGTACCAAAAAAGTATATGTGTTTGTATTAAAGTTGGGTAATTTCTAATAAATTCGTTTTATTTAAATTTCTATATATTTGGGGAAAAACAACAAAAACCTGAATTTGTTTTATTTTGTCCAAAGCTTTAAGCTAATATTGGAAGAATTTAAAAAAAAATTTTACGAGGAGTGTTAAGTGTTAACTTTTATTAATTAAAGGAATTTCAATCTGGTAATTTGTAGATAAAAAAACAAATATATCTGAAATTGTCCAAACAAAAATTTTGTTCCAGTATATTATAAAGTTTTGTTTAAAGGAATTGTGCTGCAGAGAATTTTTAAAACAAAATGGATAAACACAATATATCTAAAATTGTCCGAATGAAAAATTTGTCCGAAATTGTTTATTTATGCTGTTTGACAGATTTTTTTTCAAAATTCTGACAATTTTTTGAATAAATGTTCTATATATTTTTAGATAATTTATCCAAAAATTTCCGATGGCCAAGTTTTCCGGAATTTTTCAGAAATTTCCTTACAAATTCGAACAGTGGGAAGAAACGGAAAGGAAAGGGATGGGTGGGGGAGAGAGAGAGAGAGAGAGAGACATTTGTACATTTATAAAATATAGGTATAGATAAAATAAAAGATACTTTCCATCAAATTTCAACAAAACTAAATTTGTCAGAATTTGTCTTTTTTTATATTTTTCGGATAAACTTGACAAATTTATTTTTCTACCAGAGAAGATTTATCGTACACATGTATATTTATTTATTTATTTATTATGAATAATAAAAATTATAGCTAAATTTCGCTCCTTTTATGCAATGCAAAGTATAAAGAAACGACGGTCTAAATCGAGCGATAATAAAGATTTTTTATATAAAATGAGTTTATATATTACACAGTCAGTCATAATAATAAAAATAAAATACATATATATATATTAGGGTGGCTCAAAAAAAATTTTTACGCGGCCGCCTCCCAGAATTGTAAAAGATGCAAGAAAAAGAGACCCGTATTTTTTCTTTTTTTAATCGGCTAATATTTGTTGGTGCCGCCGAGTCTCTGAAGTTTCCCATATATTCTATATGGGAAAAAAACACATTTTCGTAGATTCGATAAAAAATTGTTAAAAATGTCTGGTTTTTTAATCTGCAAACGATATTTCTCTTGAGAAATGTTCGAAATATAAGATTCTGGCAATTATTTATTAAAAAAAAATTATGTTAACTATGTTTTACAGTGCCGCAGAGAACAAAACGCATGCAAAAATCGCACTTTTATGTTTAAAAGTATTTCTAGTAATTTTCTCGCTGATTCTCGCACATAGATTTTTCTTTTTTTACCGACAAATGAATTGTTACTAATGATTTCTTGTATTTTATAATTGTTTAAACAAATTATTGTTGTTACATTTATTTATTCTTTCATAACTGAGCTATAAATTCGCAGTTTTTTCTGAATTTATTTTAAACTTGTTACTCAGGAGTTTTTGAGGTCGCTGATTTCGAATCCGATATCAGTTTTTCAAAATTCAAAATGGCGGATCGAATATATGGCGGAAGAATTTTTCAAAAACTGCTCAGATTCATTTGAAACTTGTTATGGGGAGGTTTTTCTGGGTCACTGATTACGAATCTGATGTCAGTTTCTAAAATTTTTCCAATAGCGGATCCAATACAGTGTGAATTTTATAAAATATTATATTTAGTTAAATATTAATAGAATAAAATATTAAAAAAAATGTTATTCGTAATATGTTCCTGACTTTCTGAACGTTCATTTGAACGAAATTTTTTCTCATTTATCATAAATTACTCTTATTATAAAAAAAAAAACAAAGCAGATATTAATTCTCATTAATTAATTAATCTATTGTTCGATGGAAGGCAATATTCAAGAACAATATTAAATTTTATATACCTATGAGTTTTTAAAATTTTACTCGTTGATAGAATAACGTTTGCGTTAACGTATAGGAAACAATTTGGAAATTTTGTTTAAAAAAATGTTTTTACAAGTATATTTACTAGAGAACTATTTTAACTTAAGTTTATAGAGTGATATGTGTAATATATATTTCTGGAATTGTAGAATTGTAATAAATTAATTGTAATAATGAAATGTAACAAACGTTTATTATTCCTCAACGTATATTTTTAAGTAATACTTAAACTAAACATAAAATTGATAGAAATACTTTTAAATATAAAAGTTCTTTTTCTGCAAGTATTTTATTTTGCGGTCCTGTAAAACATAGTTAACGTAATTCTTTTAATAAATATTTGTTAGGATCTCATATTTTCAACATTTCTCAAGAGAAATATTGTTTGCACATAAAAAAAACAGACATTTCTAACGATTCTTTTTATCAAATCTACGAAAATGTGTTTTTTCCTCATATAGAATACATGGGAAACTTCAGAGGCTCGGCGGCACCATTAAATATCAACCGATTAAAAAAAGAAAAAATACGCGTCTCTTTTTTTTACATCTTTTTCAATTCTGGGGGGCGGCAGCATGAAAATTCTAAAAAATTTATTTTTCTGCATATTTTTGGGCCACCCTAATTATATATATATATAAAGAATATAAGTATAAAATCGAATGTTTCGGAACTCATAGATCCTTCTTCAGCGATTCTTGAAGATGTTACAAAGTCATCTCCACGATTTTTATCATCATGACTTACTGTAATATATAAAAAATTAATTACAAAATTTAATTTCAAACATGTAATATATAATTTCATTTTATATAAAAAATCCTTATTACCGCTCAATTTAGACCATTGTTTCTTTATAATAAAAATGTATACTATTTGTAAAAGTAACTTTTTAATATAGTTTAAAAAAATAAATGGAGATTTACATAGGGGAGCCGTTTTCCAATGACCTTGAATTATCTCCGAGAGAAAGAGAGAGACTTTAAACGTCACTCATTGTCCATTAAAAATTATATTAACAAAATAAGTTTAAGAAATAAAACGTCTCTTTTTCTAATATTATATACCCTGCTTAAAATTTTCTATAAAAAACTATAGGAACATATAGAGTTTGTATAGGTATTTATAGTTTTTAATAGTTTCTATAGTAGCGCACGAGAGCGACTATAGAAGCTCTATAGTTATCAATAAGATTCTATGAGTATAATAATAGAAAACTATTGCGGATTGGGATTTACCGATTCAAAACGCTCATTAAAAACTATAGAATTTTCTTAATAGTTTTCTATAGAAAATTTTAAAGCAGGGTAGTATAAAACAAACATGCTCCGTTTTAAACTTTTGCCTCAGAAACAAATATTTTCTTTAAAAACATTTTTTTATACATATAATTTTTTTTAAAGCAGAAAATTCATAATTTTATATCTTTATGCTAATAAAATCCACTCCACATCTTTCTCCTACATAGAACCACATGCAAAACAAAGTCCTCCTCACCTTCTCTCTATTTAGAGACATACTTTTCTCGTGAGGTCTATACTGCTGTATTATTTTTCCTAAAAAATCGTGTGCTCTTAGACAAGGCGGAAGTGGAGTGGATTTTGCTTTACGTAAAAAATTGTAAAATATACAATATATTTTAAAGTAGAAAACGTTCGTTTTTCATTAATCTTTTTTATTAAAATATTTAAATTTAATAATTAACCCTTGTTCAAATTATCAATTGTTTTTGTTAAATTCGATGTACTTACTTTAACATATTATTTAAAACAGAACTTAATTGAGCAAAATTAATCATTTACAGCAATTGAATAATTAAATAGCATGTTTCTAATCGCTTCTTATTTTATAGTCTGCTCCATATAGACATTGGTCTGCAGTTCCAAAACCATTAGATAACGATAAAGGTGATAATTTACAATATCGCTATTGGCGATTATGTTTTTACGAGTTTGAGAAAGACATGCTTATTAGCCATGATTATGGGCGTATGAAACCTGTAATACGACAATTGAAGGTACAAACATCGAGGAATAATAAATATCAATTTATGTATAATATAGTACGAATAAACTTTTAGTTTATCTTTCGTACTTAACATTGCAATTATCCTCTGTATAATTAATTGATCATCTCTTCTTATTTTGATCTTTTTCAATGAATTGAGGCACATTTTACTTTTTAGTTTATTTGTAGCATTAGTTTTTATTTTATTTTATTATAATAACTTATTTTATATCTCTCATTTATATTTTACATAGTTGTGTTTATATATAATGTATATAATGTATATTCTTTATTAGAAACTTAGAGATACTCAAAAATGGAAAAGTGTCGCAAGTTACTATCTCGAAACATTATGTTACCATGAAAAAGAAATGTTTCATAATACAAATACTTCTAACAAAAAATCATATACATTCTTATTCTTCACGGTAACGTATTGTTAAAATACAACTTTTTTTCTTTTATTATATAAGGTAATAATGAAATAACAACGATATATTTATAAATGTTAAAAAATATATTTGTAGATGTTAAGAAAACTTCGCGATGCTTTTTACAATGGGAAAATAGAATTTTATTGGGATGACGATTACAATTTGTTAGGAAAAATTAAACCTATGGAAATGAAAAATATGGAAAACAGATTAAATAATATTTTAAAACATATAAAAAAAAAAGCCATCGAAAAAGATCGGTATGCGATAGCTACATATGTTTGTGAGTATCTTATAAATTTTCTTCACGCTTCGCGAATAGATATGAATTGATACATACATATAAGTATGTGATTAACCTTTGGCTGGCACCGTGGAGTACTAGACGCCTCAGCGTATTTCAACTCTCTAAATTAAAGAAAACAAGCTCTCCTGTTGGATATCATACCGTCATACGCAGTGTGAATCCTACATAAGATCCTTTATTGTTAGAAAATGGGATTTGTAGTGCTGTCTGTTAAAATTAAATTTCACTAAAATAACCTTTGGCACTTGTTAAAATAACATTTCAAGAATATCCTAAATTTTTATCAAGTCAAAATATCAAACAGCTTACTCGCGATAAGCGATTTTATGAATGAGGTATTAGACGCTCCACAGCTATGCGATTCTAGAGAAGTGTGCCAGCTAAGGGTTAATGAGAAAATTAGCCATTTTTTGCTTATAACACATATTAAAATAAAAAATTAATATCATGATATTATATTTTATTTGAATTTTTAATTATAGTAAATGATCATGACTTAAACACTTTGAAAAATTCGGACTCTGTATCCAAACCGAAACCAGAACCTGAACTTGAAAATTGTAAGTATTACTAATAATTTTTTTCAATTGTCATGATTACGTTAATTTAGCATTATTTATTTCGCATTTCTAAAGAATAATACGTTAAAAATATATATACATTTTTTAATCGATAAAATAATTTCTTGCATAAATATTTATAATATTACATTTATTTTTAACATTTTTCATTTATTTTTAAGTCTATATAAAAAAAACTTAAATAAGCTTTTTCCAAATCTGTAAGTAAACAGAAAAATAAGCTATTTGCAACTTACAGAGTAGTTATATAAGTGTTGCAAAAGGTAAAAGAGATATTAAAATTTGCACATATACTATTTATATTATATATAGATACATTATAGATACTATTTATATTAAAAAGCATGCTTCGTTGAATTAGATCGTGTGTTGTTGCAAATGTTATATTTACAGATAAAATTAAATTACATCTATCTCTTAATTTTTATATGTAACATACATATAAAGAATATATGACAAATATAACGATTGATTTCTTTATATTATAAGAAATTTTTATCACTATATTTTTGTTATCACAAATCTATCATTCAGTTATGAACAAGTCTTTCATCTTTCTTCATCAATCAGTCATAATACTTATACATAGAATAGTAATTATTAAAGCCAATTAGACAGTACATTTCAATAAATTTTCTTAAATTCATATTTTAAGAAATAGAGATGTCTTTACAGATATAAATCCTAAAAATACGAATTTAAGTCAATTTAAGATTTTTTAAAATACATTTTCGTGATTAATAATTTACGTTTGTGCATGAAATTAAGGTACGTAATCCTTTATGCCATATTAGCATGTCGAATTCTGAGATAATGCCTTCTCACTTTTAATACAAGAGTATCAATATATATGAAGAAAGGAATATATTCAATATTATTTTAAGTTTCACACAGTTTTGCACCTTACTTTACGATAGTGACTTTCACACGTATTTATTTTACACTATATTTATCTTATTTTATACTATACTTTTTCATGCTGTTTGTCTGTTATTAATTAATGTATTGTTTTTATATTTTTTTGCAGTAAGTCAATGGAGTTGCGTGATTTTTTGACCAACCAAGAAAGAAATCAGCGATGTTATTAACGCAGCGTATCATAGCGAGACAATCTGCTTCGGCTGAATGATGATCTTCAAAGTGTGAACCGAACATATGTTCATAAATGGTAGGAAGTTTTAAGTTAATTGGCTCCTCACAGTTAAAATTCAATCTCTTCTTCAAGTTGTTTTTCTTGAATGGTCGCTGCATGAAGATATTTTTTGGCTTCGTCATTTGAGCCTCTGGTGTTTTTTCATTCGCTTTTTGTATAGGATACTTCGATGATTGGATTTCAATATCATTGTTATAATTATCTACTTTTTTATTTATGACTTTAGTATATTTATCGTCACACGGAAACATAGTTTGCGCAGAAGATGTCGCAATAATTTTGGATTCTTCCTCTCTCACCACGTCCATATTCAATGTGGAGAGTGAGTCATTATACTCATCATTCAACAAATCTTGAATTACTGTCGGTTCCACATTTCTTCTCTTATAGAAATAATCATTGAACATTTTCCATGTATCAATACAGAGGATTTCGTTACTAAATCTCTTTAATGGGGAAAAATAATGATTATATTATAAAATATAATAAAAAAGATCATGAAAGAGCTAACTATTATGTAAATTATTTATTACCTTATTAATACGTTTGAGTTCCTCTAAGAATATTGGATAATCAAATTTGTCGCCATTATGTGCTACAAAACAAATTGGCGATGTAAGACGTTGCAAAAAGGATATTATTAATTCATAAAGTTCATGTCCGAAAGGCTTTAGTAACTGCATATCCTCATTGTACAATTCTGCAAAATTATATAAAGTTAAAGTATTACAATAATGAATAAACAACCGGGATACTAATATCAATAAATAATAATAACTGTGGACCATTTACAATTTAATTTCTTATTTCGATTTTTGTACACATTAATTAATTTATAGCAAATTCGACACTTGCATTAAATTAGATTAGTACAAACTAAAAGCTACTATACTTGAAATTAGCAAAGTTAACTGTAAAAGCATTTAAATATTTTAAACAATTAAATATCCAATAATGATATATTGTCACATTATTTAATGGAGTAATCAAGTAACTATCCCTATTACTATGTTTATTTCTCTATTAATATGTTTTTGTATTTAAATAAGCTATAAAGAAAATTAGCACAAATAAATAAGAAAAAAAAGTATTTTCTTATTAAATTAAACTTAATATACCTCCCAGGTCAAGAACAAATTGAGCTTTATGCTAGTTGTTAGAAATATATATAAATTTATTATAATAATAACACCAGTATATATTTTTTTATTAAGTTAAATCATTAATGTAACAATATATCAAAAATAATATTTTATTTTTTACTCTTTTATTAAAGTATTATATTTTAAACATTTTTTTCAAAAGATATAAGGAATCTATGTGAATCCAGTAATATATGCAAAATTTTAAGCTTGTCCCTATTAGTGTGACCTATATTGAACCTGAGAATATTGTGTTACAAATACGTTGAAATAAATATAATTTGTTTGTTTGTATGTGTATAATATTAACTTGAACAATTAGCTCGCATTTAATGTTTTATAAAATTATTTGTTAAAATGAATCAAATGCAGATAGGGGTACAGATTGGAGACACATTAATAGGACCACTGCCACTTGAAGAACTCACTAATAAGAAGAAAAAGTTTTTATTTTTAACAAAAACATTATAAAGTATTAACATTCTTTAAAATTATAAAAACATTATAAAAGAAATAATTTAAAAAACGATATCGATTTCAATCAGATAAAATTAAAGCTACAATATTTAATAATTAATTTAGTAATAAGTAAATTGGCTTAGGGCCGATTGTTCCATCTTTCGGTAAAGTTTATCTGTTAGATAAATCTGACAATCCGCGCACATGATTGGGTAATCTTGCTACTTACTTAACACACAGGTAAACTTAAAGATATATTAATAGGTTTCTCTATATACAGGGTGTTTGGAATTTAAATGTCGAAACTTTAGGAGTATGTAAGGGATAAACTAAGAAAAAAAGTCCTGTAAAAATATACTCATTTTTGCTTCGTTTTGGTGAAAATCGCAAAAAAAACATAGTTATTTCGTTCTTAGACGTGAAGAAGTAGTATCTCATCCACCCTGATCATCTGATCTGATACCATTGGACTTCTTTATGTGAAGGGTTTTAAAGTAAGAAGTTTATTCAACAATTGAGAAATCAAATTGAAGCTGCAGTACACTAAATATCACCAGATCAGTGTTTGCAACACAAGCTGTTCATACTGATGATATGCTTGCATTTCTTCAAGAGATCAATATTTTAAACAATATCTACATTAAACAAGTGAATAAATAAAAAAGTACAAAAATGAAAACTATGCTTAGTCTTTTTTTGCGATTTTTTCCAAAATGAAGCAAAACCGAGCATATCTATAAAAGACTTGTTTTCTTAGTATATCAATTCTTTACATTCTCTCAAAGTTTTGACATTTAAATTCTGGACACTCTGTATATTATTTCATTGTCAAAGTTGATTATATTATGCTGTATTTAGATACTCTCTTTGTATAAAGTAGTCTTATTAATCTTAATAAAAAGTGTACTAGTGATTGAATTTGTCATAAACTAACTCACTTGTTATGTGCTGCACTTTTACTGGTATAACTTTTTGTGGATTAACTGGAAGTACCAGCTTATGTAAAACTCTTGGTGGAAAATTACTATTACATAGTGAGTCTTTGGAAACAGCAACTAGAGCAATTTCAGTAATTCTTGGCATGACATTCTCTTGAATCAGCCCGGTTGTTTCCAAATCAAAAAATACAAACGTTTGAACCTCCATGTTAACTTTCTTGTTTCTGTGTCAATGTTTTTCTTCTATATGCTACATCTTCATTATAATTGTATGATCTACCTGTATGCAACAATAATATATTAATAATATTAATTATAAAATCATGATAAGTATGACACATATATGAATAATTTAATTTTTCAAAACTTTATTTACACTTCACTACAGGATATCCAGTGAATACATTTTCATTAAAAACAAGACCCAAGTACTTCTTATCTAACATGCAATATTTCAACACTATGGAATCAAGTTTTCATGTAATTGTCTAAAATTTTAAAATCACGAGGTTTTTTCTGTGGCTGGATTCTTCCTTTCCTTTTTCTTTGTGTCTTATAATAACTACTTAATCCTTAAGCCTGACGGATTCAGGTTTCATCACGAAACCTATTAATCATGCGATTATTGGCCTTTACCAGAGATTTTATAATAACTACTTCGTTCTGAACATAGAAAATACAACCAAATACAACGAGATAAAATCATAAATGATCATAAAGATATTAGCAGAGAAATTAGAAAAATAGATTTGTGTGTGTGTAAAGTTTTAGCGACTACAAATACATTAATAGCAAATTTTATTATTCTATTCTTTGAAAGGCTCCCACACAACTACGAACTTAAAATTAAATTTCATATAAATTTGCAATATATAAATATAAAATTAATTTCATTTTTCTTACACGAAGAGATTTCACCTTTACATATGAATTCTTCTACTTTACATCTTTCGAGTTCGAGCATGTGATAATCCTGATACTCATTCTCTTCGGCTTCTCCAGTCTCCACCTTGTTTTAAGCTTAAAGCTGGCTTTTCATGCGACGCTCGACCACTATTTTCAGCGTCAAATTAGATCACGTGATAAAAATTGACGAATAGCAAGCGTCAATGCAGTGCAGTTGAAAACAGATTTTTTTTTAGTCGTGAAACCGCCCGCTATGCGGCGGTGGCAGCGACCAGTTTCACGCAGTTCACGCCAGTTCACGCTGCTTGCGAAAATTGGAACACGCTTGATTCGTTCGGCCGTCGGCGGGTTCGGCGTCGTGCGATCGACCCATAGACATGGTAAGTATAGACTGAGCATCATCCTTTGATAAGCGGTGATGCTTACGATGAGAGAGAGAAAAGATATTATGATGAGTTTCTCTCTCTTTTCAATGCCGGAGAGTGGGGAGCACTTCTCCTCATCCGCCGGCGCATCAGGTACGAGGATATTCGTGTTGATAACATAAAGATGAAGTGCATAAGATTTACAAAAATTATTGTCACTAGGAAAAAAGAGCTTTTGCTGGAATATATAAATGTAATAAGCCAGACATAGATCTGATATTAATTATATTCTGTCAAAATAATTATATAGAATGCTCAAGCATAATAAAATTGCACTTAGTAAACGATTTGAGTGTCTAAATAAATATTTGGGCAGTCCATATAATTATTTTTATCATAATCTATATGCATATGGAATCTATGTTCCATGAGTTTTCTCTATGTCCACATCCATTTTTGGAATGTTTGGTATTTTAAAATATGGACATGGAGATACGAAACATATAACTTCTATATAAAAAGTGGAATTTTTAAAAGTATTATAAAGTTGTATCTTGTTACATTTTTTAGCAAAACTTCTTTTCATATAAGATTTGACAGTCAAAAGTTATATTTATTTATTTTATATTGTACATATCAGTATTTATTTATTAATACATTCATATATTGGTTTATATTTTTCTATGTTTTGCATTAGAGATGGCATATATATTTTAATGTACAGGGTTTTCCTCTAACTCGACTTAACCATTTAAAATATCTCCGTTGTTTTTAATGATATGGGAAAATACTACAGAGAAAAGTTGAAAGGGACACATATTACGATGAGGAAAAAATTTTTCTCAAAGTCATAGTTTTTGAGATTTCGAGGTCATCGCGATTTTTTTTAATGGAATAGTATATTTTCATTAATGTAGTAATGCAGTTCATAAAAAAACAAATACAACCATATAAGATATGTTGTCCAATCTCTTGGTGGTAACGATTTTCAAAATAGGCAAAGATTCTGCGAATGGGCCCTACAGTTAGAGTTGTTGTATACCAAGCCAATTAGTTGGCTCGATTGCCAGACCTTATGCCACTTAACTTTTTTCTATGGGGATACTTAAAAAATCGAGTTTATTGTGATATTCCCACAACACCGGAAAACATGCAAGAAAGAATTCAACGTGCATGTATCGATATCAATCAGAATCACTCGAAAATCATTGAAAGATCGAAACAATCATTTATTTATCGCATTCAAAAATGTATCGAAGTTAATGGTAATCATTTCGAACATCTAAAATAAAGTAAATAAATATCTTCATTGAAAACACTTAAGTATATTAACTTTCTTTTTCCCATATAAATGTGATTTTTTATATCCAAGATCATCTGAAGGACAACATATCTTATATGGTTGAATTCGTTTTTTTATGAAGTGCATTACTACATTAATGAAAATATGCTATTCCAAAAAAATCGCGATGACTTCGAAATCTTAAAAACTATGACCTTGAGAAGAATGTTTCGCTTGTCATAATATGTGTCCCTTTCAATCGAACAACTTTTCCCTGTAGTATTTTCCCGTATCATCAAGAACAACGGAGATACTTTAAATGGTCGAATTAGAGGAAACATCCTGTATAATAGTCTGTTCTATTGGCGACTTAAATATTGAATTGTGTGAAAGAATAAACAAAATAAAGATACACCTGGTTTCATTTTATTTTATTTTCTTTTGTATAGATATGATTACTTCGAGAGAAAGCTGACACCATTCATGAGCCAGCTAAAGGCACAGGGTACTTCCACTGACTACATGATGAATATTTTTGTCACTAAGACCTTCCCAAATCATCACACGATGGCAACAGGATTTTATGCAGAAACACATGGGGTTGTAGATAATGAATTTTATGATTCTAGTAAAAATAATACTACCAAGTATTCATACGAGTTGTATCATTACAACAACAATATTTTACCTATTTGGGTATGTAGCAAGATAATAATTATATAATAGTTTAAATATATATTTTATATTTTATTAATACTTTATTTTAGACGGTTAATGAAAAAAATGGCAGACATAGTGGAACAATGATGTGGCCAGGATCTGTGTTTGAATATCAAGGAACATCACCTACTTTCGCAAAAGTGTGTATTGGATTCATATGTGAAATAAAAACATATTTAGATTCTAAGAATGTCCATTGATTATATTAATAATTTTTTAGGTTTTTAATGATACAATTCCATGGGAGAAGCGAATTGATGAATTATTGTCATGGTTTGTACATCCTATAAACCCAATAAACTTAGGAATATTGTATATCGAAGATCCGGATTATCATGGTCATGCCATAGGAATAAATAGTCCTGAATTTAATGAAATTCTCCAAAAATTGGATAATATTACCAAATACATGCATGATAAAATTGAACATTACGGTTTGACAGATGCTCTTAACGTGATTCACTTAAGTGATCATGGCATGGCATCGGTAACGATGGAAAGAATAATAAATTTGACAAATTACATTAATGCTACTGATTATACATTTGTGGGAACTTCTCCAGGATTACATATTTTTCCACATCCTGGTAAGGTTGCTTTATAATATTATTTGCATAAAATTATTTCTGTGTTTTGCTGCATTTTTTTTTTTAGGGAAAGAAGAGATTATTTATCAGAATTTAAAGTTTGCCGCAGACCAAACAAAAACGTTTAAAGTATATAAAAGAGAAGACATCCCGAAGAAATATCATTATGGTAATAATACTCGTGTCGGACCCATTTTTGTCATAGCCGAAGTTGGATATGCATTTCAAAATCTTTATGATGGTATAGAATTTTATAAACAGAAATTTAATATCACAGGTAATTTCAATTTGTTCATATATTTATTGTTATTTATACATATAATTTCTAATATCGAGTCATTATTCTTATTCAGTGGACAATCGGACAGAATTTGGGCTACATGGTTACAATAATGAAGCTAAAGAGATGCATCCATTCTTCTTTGCGAATGGACCTGCTTTTATGCCAAGATGTAAATTAGAGCCTTTTAACAATATAGATCTATTTCCCTTATTTTGTGAAATACTTAATTTAAAATGCCCCACTGTTAATGGTACTTTATCTCACATAACAAAGTGCCTTAGGACACAATCGAAAGATGTATCAATATCTACATATAAAATGTTCAGTAAGTATCTGTTTTAATAATTATTAAATTAATAATTATTCTTTTAATAAAAATCTAGATATTTTAAGATTTTAATATTTTTGTTTAGTTGCAGTTATCATAACCACTACATTAATAGGAATTTCAGTAGTGGCGACAATAATTTATAGGAAAAAACGAAGATTAGTATATAATTATAGGTATATAATAAATATATTTATAATAAATATTAATAGATCAATTTTCTAAATTTCGATACAGTCTTATAAGATTTCGTTTTTTTCTCCTTCATAATTAAATTTATTTACATTTATTTTGTTTCATCTAAATGATGAAACTCTTATAGTATTAATAAGTTTAGTAATATACAAAATTAATTTTTCAGGGATTCATATTATACGCTGGGCGAATAAGACATTACAATTGATTAATAAACATGACATTTACATTTTTCTTGGGTTTTAGTTAGTGAATTATATAATCTATATAACAGGGAATATATTACACATAAAACTACAAAAGATATAAATTCTTATGTTTTCAATAATGAATAGTACAAATGTATTTATCTCCTTGGATCTCTTCCATGTTATACGGAAACATTATTCACTAGATATAATTTAGATGAGATTATTTAGTTGGATTCTTAAAGTGCTAAGAATTTATTAATTTGTCATAAAATAACGATATAACATTAGCAAATTCAAAACAGTATTTCTCATTTATAATATAATAACTTAATAAACTACTATGTAATACATGTGATTTTATTATTATAATTGTACATATTTTCGAGTAAATTACGTAATTATTAACTTCATTTAACTTTCATTTTAGAAGAGTTCTGGATGAATCTGAAACTCAACAATTTTGGGATGAAAGTTTAATTCCACATTTATGAAACTCTACCTATCGAATAAACGCATAATTTTAAAAGTCGTAGATTGTACTTCGAGTTGTTTTTCATCCTCTAATATACAATAGTTAACCGATATTTTATAAATATTGCATTACGAGAAATAGAAAACCTTCGTGTCAAGGATTAAGCATGTTTAAAATCTCCTTTTCCATTTATTATCCGATTTAATGACTCGAGTTGTCGAATGGATTTATCGCAGAATCGATCACGAGCAAGACGCGTCATGGAGGCAATTTGCATTAAGTTATTCCACGTGAAAGCTCTTACGATTTTATTGTACGATTTTTCTTGACAAGTGCAATGAAATGTCATTACACATTTGATGGCAATGGCTTTGTAAAGATATAAACAGAGAATGTTTTAATATATTCAGTTCGTAGAATTGCATGCAGATAATCCCAAGTTCGCAACAGCTAATGGTATCCTGCAGTATCATTCTTTACTGTTGTTAGATTAATTCAAGTACATTGTAACAAAAAATCAGATGCTCCAGACGGATATATCAGTTAAATTATGTACTGTTGCTATTATGTTAATAAAAACTCTCAGAATTGCATTTGGGGGTAATTAGAACTGCGCGCTTACTGCGCAAAACTTGTGCACACGCGAAAATAATGTTCCCTGACTGCAAAATGTTTCCTGATGAATAAGATTAATTACGTATGCGGAACAACATAGTTATATCGATTAGAATCGATTATGTTTAAAATATGTAAATAATACCTACAGGATTCTGTTTAATTCATTTATTTCATACAATAGTTATTAATACACAGATGATGGAATTAATCGGTAAAGGAGGACATATATACTTCGCATTCAAATTTTATTTTCTGTTAATGGCAAATATAACTTTAACATGTCGCAAAATTTTTGTGTAATTTACTACTACAGTGAAAGTTTTATTATCATAAATGTTTAAAGAGACAAAATAATTAAGTAACTAATTGAGTAAAATCTTATTCTTGTGAATAGGGTATGACTTTACACTATTATTTATAATTTGTACTTTTTATTTTACGCTGTTACCAAATCGTTTATATCATTTAAAATGATTATATTAAATGGTATTTAATTTTACAATCGTTTTTTTTAATTTCAATAACGCCGGTTACCATTGCAGTGATCACCAAAATATCACTGAATAATCAGGCGTTAGATGATAATCACAGCGGTTTACATATATGTTAACATATTACTGTTATAAACACTTAAATAATGTCGCTTAATTGATAGCTGTCATTACATTTGTATTTTTATGTTTTTAGATTGCATTTACCATATATAATAATTGTTGCAAATGCCGTACTTATGTCACATATCATATGTTTCGTGCTTTTTTCGAAGATGTAAAACCAACAGTTTGTTCTTAGTGCCTCTGAATACAAGATCTCAATTGCAAAGAATTTTTTATTACGGATTTTTTATCGTTTTTTTTTTTAATCAACGTTCCGTGATGTAATGTTATAATTATGTGTAAATAGCTCATATGACAGCGAAATAAAAATGAAATTCAATCGTATTATGATGATATAACTATGTGTATGATTTACGGTATAAGTTACGCATATTTCTAACATTTTTTGTTGAAAACACCGTTAATAATGGCAAAGATAAATAAGTAGTAAATTAAGAGGATCCTAAAATGAAGCCAGACTTCTACCTTCTAATGAAATCGTTACTTTTATCGATAAAAAATGTGATACGTGTCGACATATCTTTATACTATGTTATTACAATATTTCACACGCATAATATATATATATATAATTTTTTTAGAACAATATGTTTTAATTAAATGTCTAATTTTAAGAATTCTATATTGTTTATTCGCATAATAAACTACTAGTTTATGGACTACAATTTCGTAAGTACAGATTGTAAAGCTTTCTAAATCAAGCAAATATTTATATTGATGACAGCTCTGATGGTGTAGTAGACTAAGAAATCACAAAGTAGATCTCAATTTAAACTTTTTTTTTTCGTTCTCGATATAAAGTCCATCTCACATATATATAATATTAATTAATGCGTATACTTTAATCTTAGAAAAAGATTTTTAAATATAATAAAAGATGAAAAAAGTAATTGCAAAAATTATTACAGTCAGTAAAACAGACTTTAGATCTCTTTAAATGATATTTCTTTTTACAAGCGTTTTTTTTTTTAATTTTAATAGCGTCGGTTACTGCAGTAATTACCACAGATTACTCAAAGATTAGGCGTTAGATGATTGAATTAGAGGTCAAAGTGTCAATACAATAAATCACTGTTAACACGATGTTACTTTAAGGGAATCCTAAATATATCCATACTTATGAGATTATAGTTCACAGACTAGTAGTTTACACAAATAAACAACTTGGAGTTCTTAGAACTGGTGTTATTTCATTCTAAAAAAAATATATATGTGCGTACACATAAGATATTGTTGTACAGTAGTATATATAAAGATATATGTCGATGTGTCGCATTTCATCGGTAAAACAGCGGTTCTTGGAGTTCGATCGAGCTTCACTTTGTTATGTTTATTTATATTTTTAGCTAGATTATATTCATATAATTGTTGCAAATATCATGCACATGTCTTGTGCTTTTTTTGAAGATATAAAATTAACAGTCTAGATATTTCTAAAAAGATCTAAAAGATGCAAAGAATTTTTTTTATCATAGTGTTTTTATTAGTTTTTTTATACAATTTTTTTGTATCAGTTGTGTGTTATAAGTTATAATATTATAATTAACTTATCGCTCACACGATAGCACAAAAAAGATGATGAAATTTGATCACATTATAACAATATAATTGTACCTATGGTGTAAGTTATTTTTAATATTTTTTTGCTAAAAACATAAATTACGACTAATAATTGCGAAGATAAATAAGTAAGTAATAAATTAAGAATAAAAATTTGACATTACACGTTTCTTTGTACAATATTGTTTTAATTTCAATTTATCTATTATAATTTATTATAATTTTTACGTATCATATTTCAAAAGCAATCTCATATTATAATGATTACCCCCGCTCCAGCTTAATTAGGGACATTACGATCCGTGATAAATAATTAATGCTACACGATCCTCTTGAGAGATATCGCGACAATTGTGCAGATAAGGCTCTCTTGTGCGTTTTTTAAATTGCTTTCAAGATTGCCATTAAGGACTTAAATGGAAAATTTTTCGTGACTCTGAAAAAATATATATAAAAATAGTATATAATATATTTTATATATAAAAAAATTATATAAAATATAAAAGATATTATAGAAAACTGTATATTAAAACGAAATAAAATCACTATTTGATCAGATAAATGCAATTAACATCTTATTGTTAGCAGGAACTCTGCGAACGCTACACATCTCTTTGACTCACCAGGTCAATTGTTTCATATTTCTCGAAGCAAGCGGAAATAATAAGTGTTAGCTAGTACAAAGGTATATATACCTGAAATGTATACGTTATACGCGAATAGAATATATATCCTGCATGACAGGGATTTCACAGATTATATCTTTATCAAGCAGAATTTACGGATCCATGTTATGAAGAGTGATTTAATATTTGGTTTGTATACAAGTGACGTTTATATTTTTCTTTACTTTTTTACAAATTTGTATCATTCCGCGCATTCTTCACCGACAAACAGATCGAGAAATCGGAAAAATACAAGTTTGGGAATAATAATTCAATCACCAAATTATCGCATTAGATCATAACATGATATCTTATTGCATAAAGCCAGATTTTCAAATAAACTCTTTAACAATGATATCTTTTATCTAAGTCTTACATCATTTTCTTAGTATTTGCATTGTAATTTATATGCAAATATCTTCTGCACGTTTGCAATTTATAATTATTATTATGTATAATTATTATATATACTTTTGGAAATCATTTTTGTCTTATATCCAACACGCAAAAATATTAACAATATTATTATATTAGAAGTTTCCCAGCCGATTTAAATAGAATATTCAGTAGATTTTGAGATTAACTACATTTATATTGAATATGTGTTCTGTCAGCAGAAATTGTTAACATAATATGCAATCAACAAATTGTTAGCAGAAATCGATTAAAATTTATTTTTGTAATTTAAATGGAATGTACCATTTAATTTAAATGCGGTTTGGAATAGTAAATCCTTCTCGATTTCTGCAGTCAGTTTGTCAAATATTTTAATATATTTTGTTATATTTCTGTTAACACTATACCAATAAATTTGTAGTAGAATTTATTTGCAAAATCTGTCTTCCAGATTTGATTATCTAGATAATCATATATACATGTATTATTTGATCATTAATTTTCGGAACTTTGCTTGTTCCATATTAGTCCTTCATGTTGCTCCATCCGTATTGTTTTATATATTATTATTATTATTGTTTTGTTATCCGTATTGTTTTATATATTACATAATACGTACTCCATTCTTCTCAGAATAGATCTAAGATTATAACAACAAAGAGGAAAATTATCATGACACTCCTCGTTCGATTAATTTATAGTGTTCTTATGTAGTGTTTTACTATATTTCTGAGTAGATATCGCACGTTAGCCGGGATGTTCAATCAATATCCCAAAATATCCACCGCTTGTCCACCCTGTATGGGACGTGCGCGATACTAGAAAAGAGAAGAGGCCAACACCGGTGGTTCGAGCATCACCATCAGCAGCAACAGCAGCAATGGACGAGGGCGATCGATATGACCCGTGGTGCGTTCAATGCCACACTTGGAGAACATTGAATTGTGTTCAGTAACAGCGGCAGCAAAGAGAGAGAGAGAGAGAGAGAGAAAGAGAGAAAAAGAGAGAGGGGATATACCCCACGGTCGATGCCTATATAGCCAGCTACGAACGCAACAGATCGTTCCAGTCGTTGTCTCTCGTCTCAGGATTTCCTCGCCTCCTTTTTTATTTTATCTATTGCACGTCTCGGATTAGCCTCGATACTTCCGAGGCCTCGCAATACACTCTCACGATGTGCACGTTTAATCAATCGAGCGTCTAACGAGGCGATCAGCTTCGCCGGTTCGGTTATCGCGATCGAAGGTGCTCGAGGTGGTAGTAACGCGGTGATAACGATATACGGTCGCGACAAGCGAAGATTAAAGATCTCCGGCATGTTCTCCAGGACGTAGAACAGCGAGTTCTCTCGCCGTCGCCGAGCGGAAGCCGCGGGGAGGAGTTTCCTAATATATAAGTGCTTCTGTTTATAATATTAAGTATTTCGTTTTGCCGCGCCGCGCGGAGCAGAGGTGTCGCTTAACTGTGCGCGCGTGGCGCAGCATCCCGAAGGCTGGATCCAAAACGCATTCGTAGCACGAAGAAACTGTTACCTCCAATCTTCTCTCGCGGAACCTCGGAGGTCTCGGTTGACAGCGACATGCCGCCGCAGGAGAAGTTCCCGGCATCCGCGGGGGTTTCCGGGGACCTGTCCCCGCAAGACGCCAGTCCCGATGGCGGTCTGTCGACCTCGGCCTCGTCCGATGGGCTTTCGACTGTCAAGGGTCGCAAAAGTGACGACGACCCGGATGACCAGGAGCAGCCCAAAGACATAGACTTCGACGACCTGCTGCCGCACGTAGGTGAATTCGGCACCTATCAAAGGATCCTGTTCGTGCTGATGATACCGTTCGCCTTCTTCGTCGCCTGGGTATACTTCTCGCAAATATTCATCACCCTCGTGCCGGAGGAGCACTGGTGCCGTGTGCCGGAATTAGACAACCTTACGGTTGAAGACAGGTAGATAGATATATGGATAGGAATTACCGTTTTAGGGCTCTGAGACAAATAAATTAAAACAAAAATAATATATCGAACAAAGAAAATTGAAAAGAAGATACTATATGTGTAAATGCACTGAACAATGCATAAAAAAATCACGTATTCAGAAATAATACGAATAGAACCATAAAGGACTATATAAAATTAAGGTAGGATGGATACTGAAAATATTTTCGCGTCTTCACGCTTTAGCATTTGAAAAAGGAACTCTACTGATTAATCTGGAATTAATTGAAGAATTATAGTAATACTATTAATTTTGTTGCAGAATTATATTTTTATAAAATATGTTCAAATAAGAACCTACTCCAAAGCGATTTTATCGTTAAATGAATTGATTACTCATTCTTTATACAATACAATTGTAATAAAGATTTAACAGAAGAATTGTGTGCTTTTTTATAAGAGAATGTTACTACTAGTTAAAGCATAATTTTTTGCTCATAAATTATTTTAACATGTATTTGAATATTTTCTTTATCTTTGTACCGTTATTTACGTGATTATTTGAACATGTAATAAATTATTTATCTATAAATAGCTCGTTTAAAATTCATAATTTTGCAGGAATATGGTTTTTCATAATTTTCGTAATCTTTGAGCGTAAAATCAGTTTGATAACATTGAGATAAATTTTTCGCGCTTTATTATGTGGCACGTGGTTGTTTGAACGTGTTATAAATATCTTATCTGCATTACTCGCTTCAAATTCACAATTTTGTGCGATTACGGTTTTCATGATTTTCGTCATTTTTTCTGCGTGAATTATTTTGACATATGTTTAAATATTTTTTTTTACGCTTTATTATTTGGTACTTTAAACGTGTTTTATATATAACTCATTTAAATTTACAATTTTGTACGAATATGATTTTTATAGTTTTCATAATTTTTTGTGCTTGATTTATTTTGATGTATAATATACTTAAATTTTTTTTTTCACACTTTATTGTTTAGCACGTTGAACATGTTATCTTACCTACGTACTCGCTGAAAATTCACAATTTTGTGCAAATATGATTCGTAAATAAACTACAAAATGAATATGTAGCACTTGACAAAGGCCACCGAATATGTAATAATTCACCTTATACAGTCTCGTATCTCTCTTCTCTCTTATCACTACATATTTATTTAACAAAAAAATGTGAAATGACTTGACTGCACCATGATAATCGCCTACTTGTCGATTAATAACTAATCAGTGCAATGAAGAAAATTTAAACGAAAAACTATAAAATTCCTATCAAATAATAAAATTTTTAGATCACAATGTAGGATAAATAATTTTTTTTTTTTTTTCAATAGAATTATGAACGCACATTCTAACTTCGATAAAGAATAATAGAGCGTGTTGTAAATGCGCAACGATACAGATATTCCTCTTACAGTGACGCACGTGACGTTAATTCAATAGGAGAAGAAACTTTTCATCAGAAGCTTGAAGAGCGTTCGCGATAACAGGTTTCATAGTTTTGAATATTACTTTGTTTTTTCATTATGCTTATGCAAGCCGCATTTCCATAAACACCTATCTATTTCTTTTCCAATTATTTTTCTTTTTAATAACTCAAGGACCGTAATTTATGTCTGCGGTTTTGTCGATCGTATCTTTAAACTTCTTTTCTTACGGTAATCCGAGCAGATTTTATTCCGCTCACGACTACCGGTATTCCGCACAGACTATTCTCTTGCGCGGTAAAATTGTTCGCACGAACAAATATATCGCGAACATTTGAATTACCCGGAATACGTAGAATCGGTGATTCACGGTCTGCGATTTGCTATATTTTCTCATTATGAGAGCTTGGCCAGTGCGTTTTTATGAATTATACTAAGACGATGTTATTATAGACGTAAATTATTTATTACATAAAGAACTATGTATTGTAAAGTTCGAAGTTATTCTTCAGCCATTTTCAATCATTTAGAATCTTTTTTTTTTTTAATTAGAAAGAAACTTTTTTAATTCCATGTACTCAGATAGACGTTTAATTTCGAGATAAACAAAGGAGAAGACGCAATAATTTTACTTAAATCTTTCTTAAGCAGACGTTAAATTATCTCGTTGATTTCAGGACAGAATTTTATTTATAATTTATATTATAGAATTATAGAATTTTATTTATGATTTTTGTTACATTATATATTATTATTTACATGTACATTATATATATTATTTACATGTACATTACATTACAATATATATTTATACATTTTACTCTTTAAGTGAATAGATGACCATGTATAGCTTTCTAGGTATAGTATTCTTTAAAACTTTATTTTAGAAAAGAAAAATAAAAAGTATCACCCAAATGTTCAGAAGTCTCAAAGTAATTCATTATTTTGATATTGCTTTATCTCATAAAGATATATAATTAATGGACATTTAAATATAACATAATATATAAATATAATTATATTAAATTTTTTTTAAAAGTAGTCTGATTACCTATCTATCGATTTGAGTCTTATCTTTAAACTATCTACTTTCTTAAAGGTTTATATTTTATATAAAAGACATATTTTTTATATACACTGTAAAAAATAAAATGTAAATTTTAACTCAAAGACGTTGAGTGAATTTTCTGAGACATTCAAAAATGTTAACATTAACGCAAAAATGTTAATTTTAACATTTTTGCACGTCTCAAAAAATCCACTCAACGTCTTTGAGTTAAAATTAACATTTTATTTTTTACAGTGTATAATTGTAGTTTTTATTTTTAAATACTTTTCGCGAAAGATAAACTGTAATTGCAGCTGTAAATAATTTTATCCTAAATTTGGACACGGTTTGTAAATTATTTAAGGTAAGCATTACACGTGTATATGTTCGTATTTACGTGGCTTATTGTCTAGTCGTTACAGTGTACGCAATTCTGGCTGTAACGATATAATGGGAGGTGCGCTAATGACTCGTAAAAGCACTCCTAACGATCTGTTATGTTGCTCTTTGAGTAAACACGCACAGTTCATAGATTTTTTTTAAAACAAAAAGGAGTAAAAAGAGGAGAAAGAGGAAATAAACATGCACACTGTAATGCTATTCTTGGCTATTGTGTCTCGCCGATGTGTATTTTTTCTTTTTTCACACGTTCATCGACAGCGAGTATCGGCGATTTTTCATCTCTGGCGGTCGCGAAAGAACGGACGGAAACTGCGGTGCGCAAACGTGTCGGTGTTTGTAATGTACGTACGTATCAGTCGGGGAAAGTATGAAAACGGACGCGACGTCGAGACCTTCGCGGCCACAATTCGATTGCACGATTCGGCGCGACTAGAATCGCGCGATTAGTAATACCTGCGTGCTGGTTTAATAGTCTCCTCCTATCTCTCTGACGTCAGTCTAATAACGGGATAAATGACCGGTTGATGTCAGTTTTTTTTTTTGCGGAAATTCATAAGAAATGCACACGGGCGTCGGGTGAGACTTTACGTTACTTATTACATTAGTCGATAAAAATTCTTACCTTTTTTCGCAATAAATAAGTGAACAAACGAAATTGTTACTGATAGATTTTGATGCGCTGATTACGAACGTGATTCCAAAAATGTCGTATCACATCAAATTTTTAAGATCTTTTAACTTATAGGTGCAAAATAAGTGTTTTTGGCCATTTTCAACGACCTACAAAATGTCTAAATTTAAGGCTCGTGTACGTAGAAGTCGTAAAAACGATCTTGGAATCTTAAGTCGTAGAAAACATCTAAAGAATATGTAATTGTAGATAGTGAATAAAAAACAAGGATTCCTAAATTCCAGATAGTGAATAAAAAGCAAGGATTCCAAAGAGCTTTTGGGTTTGAGAAAAAAAAAAGATTCATTAAAGATTACGTATATTAAAATAAATTTGTTTATTATGATTCTACCAAGCCTTCGTAAATTTGGAAAACAATATAAGTTCCTATGCATCAACTTATAAGTTGACTCCAAAAAGTTGACCTAAAAAAAGTCGGATCAGCAATGAAATATGCGTTGGAAAGGGTAAGAATAATATATCTTTAATATGAGAGACATTCGCTTGGAGGTTGAAAAAAAGTTATTGGACATTTTGTAAGTTGTTGAAAATTGCCAAATACCTCATATTTTGCATAGACGCTTTTAGATTAAAATTTTTAATCAGCGCATCGAAAAATCTACCAGAGGTAACTTCCTTAAAGCCAAAATGATTTCAATCGGTTATTATTACAGCAACACTATCAATTGTTTCCAAATGGTAGAGCCAATATACGTCAGTTTATCCACTGATCCGCATAATTAATAGACCGATTGACGTTCATATCAAATGGAGTGGAAAAGCATTTTTAACGTGCTCGCGACACTGTACTTCAAGAAGATTAGCAAGAGAGATATAATTCGCGATAAATCATTATCCCACGCATAAGTCTTTATAAACTGCGGCTAATGGCTTAGCGCTTTGATGAGAATACATTTTTCACGAGTAACAGCGAAGTGTGACGAGAAAATGCACACTTGCTTCACTTGAATTTTTCCGTCATTATTATATTTACGACAGTCTTCGGCAAACTGCATACAGAGTTTTGTTACGCTCGAACTAATATGTTTTTGTGATTATTATAAGTGGCAATTAGAAAATCAATAAAGTATTTGTATTTTTTGGCTTTTGGCTACTCGGAGACCGGCACGAGTATTCGTGGATAATGAATAATAAATTTGCACGAAACCTTCGTGTAAGCAATGAGAGCGTGAACGTGAAAAATACTTGTGTAAGTCTTTCAACATAACGCTGAGCTAACACCACATTTATTGCATATGGCCGATAGAGAGACGGATCTTAAACAGGACGTTCCTGCGATGCGCCTTTCGATCTATATTGTTTAATCGCGTGCTTATATAATGGATAGCGGAATAGAGATTATAAATAAAAATCAAAACCACAAGAGAGAGAGAGAAAGATAGTTTCATTGTAGATAATTATCATTACACAAGAGAGATTCTACGAGTTTGAAGAATATCTAAAAGCAAATTTTATTTATTTACAAAACATATATATTTATATATACATATAAACAAGTAAAATGTATATATATATACATATAAATTACTTAAAAAATTAAAGATACAAAATGTCAAGGAAAAATAGTTTTATGCTGTCTAAATTATTTGGAGAATCTCGCTATAAAAGTAATAATTGAGTTTTTAAAAAGAATGGCTCAATTTTTAAGTGTAAGATTTTATTCTTTTTAGTGTGATTTATACTCTAAAAGTTTTAAAAAATGATCAGTTAATATTATATTATACGGATAGAGAGAAATATTATTGGATAAGATTATTGTACGGACAATTCTGCAAAGCTTTACCTATGAATTCTTTAAACATATATATGTATATATGCAGTAAATATTTGTATTTAAATGTCGTCTTTTTATTCTAATATAATATTAAAACCTTTTTCATATACAATATTCAATATTAAAGACCGTTAATGTAAGAACATAACTAATACAAACACGAAGCCTATAACAGTCTAGCTTTGATCTTTTAATCGCTTATATATAAACTACCGTGGTATTTTTTCATATAATATTAAGCTTTTAAATTAAAATTCTTTTAAAGACTTACCCAAAAGCAATTGTAATTGTATTATCTATTCATAATCTTGAAGCTTAATTTATGAAGTTTTAAGCAGTTTTAATCGTTTATTGAAAAACCATTAATATTCCAATATTTTTCTAAAAATGACTTCAAACACAAAAATTGACGTTTATCGGGAGTACCTTACATAAAAGATTTGTAAGAAAAATTCGTTTACCTTTTTAACGTTATCCTATTTTCAGGTGTTTCCAATTAAAATATTTTAAAACGAAAAGACTTTCGCTACATATATGTAATTTTTTTCTGAAAGAGAAAAAAGATGTGCACATATATAGTCGCAGATTTATGATCCAGTGTCACGACTTTAATACTTTTGCTCAGCCAGTTACTTACTCGTGCAGAATGTTAGAGAGACGTTCTCGCGCGAGCGTACATACATCTATCAAGGATAAAAAATGCACATGCATTGCAATCGATGTCAAATGCGTCCGCTCGTTCGTATAACTCTTGCCCAAAGGTCAGATTGCGTGCGTTATTAACACGCACTCGATAATTGGAGACCTTTACGTGCGAGCTAAATTACCGGCTTATAATCGTTTTCGATTTCCCGTCAGGTACAGTCCCTCCTGCTACTGACATTTTATTAGGTCAACGCTTGACATTTACTGGAACGTCTTATTATATCAGCCATCTTATCAGACCCTCCCACATTTTGTGCTAATTCTTGTCCGCCGTGACACGGATGGATATTTTTATTCTGTCATTTTTCAGAATCGCCCTGGCGATACCAGTCGGGGAGGATGGCTATTCCAAATGTAGCATGTACGACGTGAATTATACGGAAGTTCTGTTAAACGGGATCAGAGAGGCGAATCCGAGCTGGCCGACGAAGGGTTGCTCGCACGGTTGGGAGTTCAATTTTACTGACATCCCCTACGAGACCATAGCGACTGAGGTAAAGCCCATTCTACTATTGTGAAAGCGCAGTTGTAAGTGGTAGTTTTAAGAATTGATCAATCTCGCAATCGATATTCTTCTCACATTCGACTGTAATATAGGTCAATTCCTACAACTACGATCATTTACAATTTTAAGATGGTTAAAAGAGGAAGCGTTGAAGAACGAAAATTAATGGGAATCGCACCCGAGGCACGATGCTCTTCTCTCTGTGAGCGACTCTATTCCGCTCATTAAACATTACAAGCGTTCGCTGCAGCATTTAGATGTCTCAAGGTGGCTCGAGTGTGGCACGTGGGTAATGAGCGAATGGTAAGTTATGGAGTGTATCCGATGTAACGAGCACACTCGCCACTCGACAGCCGAAAGGCAGCCGTACACTCGGCATATATGCATGCCGGTGTGCAACAGATGTGTTTGTGCCGCGTTGTCACGCGAACGTCGCGAACTCGCACCACGTGTACTCGCGCGGCAAGGACGAGTCGAGAGTACATAAAGAGCAATACCGATTTACACGCGCGATTGCGCCGCGGAATTGAGCAACTCCTCGTTGAATTCCTGAATCGCCTAGAAATTGGATTGTACTGTTGAGCAGATTGGGAACCGATTGGTTGCCTTTGTTTTCTAAAAAAAAAAAAAAACGTTCCCAGTTCCACCTGCGTCGACCTTCGCACGTGATCACCTTCTTCTCAGCATGGAAATGAGCTACAATGAGAGAAATTTTTACCTTTAAGTATTATAGTTTAAGTGTAGATAAGTTCTACATATTTTAGGCTTCGTCGGTCAGGAGATAAAATCGAAGATATTAAATAAGGAAATAAAGTTATCTATTTATAATATTTTTTTAAATATAATAATATAATATAAAATAATTATTATATATCATTTTATATTATTATATTATGTTATATAAAAATATTAATATAATTATTATAGCATTATTATATTATGATATAATAATAATACAATAATTAGAAAAGCAATCGCCTTTAGTTTGCCGATCTCCGCTTTAATTACAGCGTTTGTTTGCGATTGACACACTGAAAAAAAAGATTGGCTGAATATGGCATAGCATTATTTTTAATTGGCTGCCGCAGCCAATTAAAAATGCTATGCCATATTGTACCGTCTAAGTTACTGCAGCAGTCAATCTTTTCTTTCAGACTTTTCACTTTCGAGCATCCGTGAATTGATATCCTAGAAGTAAACTGTTTGACCATGAATTCAAATTTTTTTTACAGTTAGGATGGGTATGCGAGAACAGTGCGCTACCGACGACCGCCCAGAGTGTCTTCTTCATCGGCGCGATCTTCGGCGGCTTGATCTTCGGATGGATCGCCGACAGATACGGCAGAATACCGGCGTTGGTCGGTGCCAACGTCACAGGTTTTCTGGCGGGCGTCGCGACCGTCCTGGCCGGAAGTTTCTGGGAGTTCGCGCTGTGCCGATTCTTCGTCGGCTTCGCTTTCGACAATTGCTTCACCATGATGTATATATTGGGTGCGTATATGTGTTGTAGACTTCTTAGCTTTGTATGTTTAGGAAACCAGAACTTGCGTTATAGAATTTAACCGTTTCTCAGTCGCGTCGTTTCAATCCGCGATTCAGTCATGGAGACTTCCTTTCCTTCCGACGTAATAATTGCGCTTCCTCATTGATGATAAGCTATTCCTTTTATGTGATTTCGGAAGTCGAAGAAACCGCGTTGCGGCAAGATATGCGTGACGCACGATTAAAGACTAATAAAGAAAAGGGAAACGCACGGAAGTCTTGATTTTCTGTCGATGCAATATTATTGCACATTTGATATTGTATAATATATTATATATTGATTGTTCGAAAGCTGTATTAAATTTCTCCTAAAATATATCCTTACGTTTAAAAAATGTTACTTCGAACCATTATTTCAAATAAATAATTAATGTGAAATAAATGCTTAATAAACGTTAAATGAACATTAAAAAAATGTTTTTTCGAATCATTATTTCAGGTGAATAATAAACGTAAAATAAATATTTAATACACGTTAAATAAATATTTAAAAAATGTTTTTCAAACCTTTATTTCAAATGAACAATTAATGTTCACAAACGTTTAATAAATGTTAAATAAGCTTTAAATTAATGTAATTTTGAAAACGAGTCGTAGAAAATGTAAAATTAATGAGAACTAAACGTTTGAAAAATGTTTAAAAAACATTTTCTGCTGATTGGATAATGGACTCTAAAATAGACGGTCCTTGATGTTCACTATTATTATAATATATATAATTATTTTGTACAATAATATTATATTGATACCTCTTTTAAATAATTCAAAACGGACAGTTTAGAGGTTCAAGTATATTTGAATTATTTAAAAGGGCCATCAATATATATATAATCTAGCCTTTAAATGGTCAATAATATATTAATATTATGTGTTATTAAATATTGTGCAATAATATTTCATTGACAGGAAATCGAGACTGCTAGATTCTGCAATTAATTTTAATTGCTTCTACACTCTACTTGCTTATTATATTAATTAAGTATCAACAAATTAGCATTTATTTGCAATATTTTATTTGTATAATTTCTGCACTGAGACACAATGGTCGCTTCGCCTCTTAAACTTTTACCGTTTGTTGAAACTTACAATTAGATTTTTAGCGATTGTAATTAATTCTTTGGTGCGTTACCGTCAAACAGGATCTGTGGAATTCCAGGCAGGAATCGATCGTGATCGGTTTTTTAAATCAGCTTTCCTTTCCATCTTAGTTTACTATTAATTAGCTATTAATGAGAAACGCGTTCCTTTTCATAAACGAACTTCTCACGTACATGGCTATTTCAATATCAAACAACGTGGAACAATGCCACGCGCTAGAAACACCTCTTTGTACTCATCAAACCGTTACGTCAACCTTAACCCCGTCAGTTATCGCATTACAATCGTCGTTATTTCATCGCAATTGTAATTAAGCCGATTAAATCGTCATGGAAATGTCTTCACAAGAGTTCTGGGACGCAGACTGATTTGCGGACAATTATGTTTGTACCTATACGTTTATACATCTTAAAACGATAGCGCCGCGAAAAAAAAGGAAATAAGATCTCTATACATTTCTTGTTCCTTCTTGCGCAAGTATCTCACACCCGATTATCGTTGTTTAGCCTTGGCGATAGATCGGCAATCTGGCCCGCGCGAGTGATTGTTGGTCTGCCCGAATCGAGTCTTCGAGCGACTGTCGAGTCATAGCCGATTACGATCGCCGGATTCAGCTACCAGGTCAAGCTCGCCCGGTTTGACTCATGAAGTCACGGTTATTGCACTCGCCGTAGCGTTTTGCTAGTTCCGTTTCGCCGATCTTGTCGGTAGAAGCGTGGCTAATGTCAGAAACACGTGACGTAAAATGCTGCTATCCGCTCGTAAAAGATGCATAAATTGACAAGTCGCATCTCGTTGTCTTTCGTGAAGTTACTCGTTACGAGGAATTTGATCAATTTACTATACTTTGAAGGACGAAGGAGATTGTAAAATGGCTCAATTCGTATTTCCATCGAATTCCTCGCGAAATTTCGTACTGTGAGCTGTCATCAGTTTGAAAGCTTTCAAAACATTTTTATTAAAACGAGATAAATACATATTTGATCGTTAAAGAGAGAGAGAGAGAGAGAGAGAGAGAGAAAGCAAAGATTCTGAACGCAAAAAGTGCAAGCAATGCAAACAAACTTGTTAACGAAATTGACGATAGTTTTTAAGTTAAACACATTAAATTATAATTTAACATCATTATAATTTTATGTCAGTTATAAGTTCATTTTTAATAGACTTTCTACAATTTTAAAAGTTATTACTTGATGAGCTTTAAGCCGTAAGAAATCAACCATAGTCGATTGTTCTTCTCACTTTCGGCTAATTAATAAATTTCTTATACGACTTAAAACCTAAAGCTAATGACTTTATTGTAGAAAGTCCATATCAAAAGACGTTTTCATTTCGTTCATAATATAATTATGACTTGATATTGACTGTTTTAAGCTCCCAAGGAACATAAAAGTCAAGAAAAAATCAAAATGACTCTATTGTAATTTTTAACGTCTTAATAGTCAAATTTTGCTACAAAAAGATCATCATTTTGACTTTTGTGACATCAAAATAAAATTATTTTGATTTTCTCTTAATTTAATGTTTCTTAGGCTGGGTTTATTTTGTTTATAATAAGTTTTGTTTGTAATAAAAGAGTTACTCAAATGCTGATACACATATGTTTAAAATTATTCACGGAGTATACAATTTTGACACATTTCGAAATCCGCAAATTAATTTATACTGAATCTCATAGCCTTGCGACCGTCGTTGAGTACACACAGGACGGTTCACTAATAATTTTACGCTTCACAGATGGATATGGTAGCATGAAGGTAGCACATTTAAAAAAATGACCATTTATCGATCTAATTAAGATAATGTAAGTCGGCAGAAATGAGCTACCCTCCTAACAAACAGGAAACGTTTATTATTTAATGTTTGAGAACTCAAGCCTTTACGATAATGATACGGAGGCCATGTTTGCCTGAAAAGTTTGCTTTTAATATTAGGCTTCCTTGCGCTAACAAACAAGAATTATCTAAATTATAAGAGAGGAAAAGAGCATTCGATGCATTCCCCCGTTTTCATCACGGGCTGTTTGCGCAAGGTCAGGACGAAGGATATCATTCGCGGTGACGTAATAATTGAATCATAAATCTATTCCGAGACTTTAAACCGACTGTCTACGAACACGTATTCAAAATGACTTTTGTTTAGAAAATAAATTCTTATGTAAACAAACGTCATTCATTTACAGTGATTTAATGAAGATTTATCATAATGAAGATATATCAACGTGACATGCGCGCGTCGCACGTTTATTGTAATTTATTCGTCATGTCGCGTTGTCACAGTTTCAATTTCGAAATCAACACTTCGTAAATATTGGAATGTTCCCAACAGCATAAAACTTGCAGCAATATTGTTGCAATACTGCTGCAAATGTTGTGCTGTTGGGGTTTAGGGGGGAGAGAGAGAAGAGAGAGAATAATATTTTAAATATTCTTCTAAATATTTGTTTTCAGTATTGGAATACGTGGGACCGAAATGGCGCACTTTCGTAGCGAACATGTCGATAGCTCTCTTTTTCACATTCGCCGCCTGTATCTTACCTTGGATCGCGTATTTCCTGGCCGACTGGAGGATGACTTGCGTCGCAGTGTCTGTTCCTCTGGCTCTGGCGATGGCGGCACCCTGGTTGGTACCGGAGAGCGCGAGATGGCTTGTCAGTCAAAACCAAGTGGAGAAGGCCATTGGAATCCTGGGTAAATTTGAACGCATCAACGGCACGAAAGTACCCGAGAACGTCTATCAACAGTTTCGCGTAAGGATCGTTGATTTTCTCTTGTATTAAAAAAAAAATAATAATACCACGTACGATAATAAAAATTAGAAGAAAAATTTATGTTATAACGACTGTTTGTCGATGTAATAGGAAACTTGTGCCAGGGTGTGCAAAGAGCAAGAAGCGGATAAGACTTATTCCGTGGTGGATTTATTTAAAAGTCCACGTTTGCGAAATGTTACGATTCTCCTCATCATTATCTGGTGAGTTATTCACCTAATAAAAATGTTTCTTCAATTTTAATCAAGAGTTCTATAAGGTTTATTAAATTAGAAAAAACGTTTAATAAATTAACAAGTACTTCAGTAGCTTATAAGAGAAAATGTCAACGCCGAATAAAGGATAATCGTTATTCGATGACTATAAAGAATGTGGTAAGGTTGTTCCCTTATCTATATATATCGATTATGTCTCCTAATACAGGATGGCGATATCGCTGGTATTCGATGGTCACGTAAGAAACGTGAATAATCTCGGGCTCGACGTCTTTGTAACGTTTACCGTCGCGGCGTTTACCGAACTACCCGCCGACACATTCCTTACCCTCGTTCTCGATCGATGGGGCAGACGATGGTTGGCTTGTGGTACCATGGTAATTTCCGGAATTTTCAGCATTTGGGCAAGCATGGTTTCAAACAGTAAGTACTGTTGAATTACTTCTTTTTACATACTAAACTAGAATTTTACCCGAGACGCAGTCATGCCATAAAATGTTCCTCGTCCATTGCTTTCTTTCGTTCTGCCGCTACCTTGCTTATCGCATCTTTTGTCTCCTTATTTGACTAGATTCTTCGTTTTTAATTAGTTGCCTTTCTACTTATATCTTATATGTCTGTGTATTATATTCATATCTATGTTACACGCAAGTCTCATCGTATTTATACTGATAGTTAGTTTTATATTTATGCTTACCATTACATATTATATTAAAAGTAGTCGATTATCGTATATTCTATACTCTCAGTTAAACAGGAGGGTTTAATAACAGCAGTTCTGCTGGCGCCCTGCCTCTTTTGCCTGTATTATCTACTCTTACTATTACTTCAAATGATGTACGTTTACTATTATTAGAGAAATAAATAATAATAATTAATTATAATAATTAATAATAACAATTAATAATAATAATGTTCCAAGTAATACACTCACGTTCAAAATACGTTTAATGAGTCAGAAATCATATAATATATATATGATATACAAACTGAAAAATAAACGTTTAAAACTTGATACGTTTTTAATCTATTTATATAATAAAATTTTTATTTCAGATATTTATTCGGCCACTCTGGCGATCGTTGGAAGATTCTGGGTCAACATTTCGTATAACATCGGGCTTCAATATGCTGCCGAAGTATTGCCGACTGTTGTGAGAGCTCAAGGAGTTGCCTTGATTCACATAATGGGATACGTCGCGAGTATCCTTGCGCCTTTTGTCGTTTACTTGGACATTGTTTCGTCCATTTTGCCACTATTGGTCCTGGGCGTTATGGGGATTCTGGGTGGTCTTTTGACGCTCTTGTTACCGGAGACACTCGATAAAGATCTGCCCCAAACTTTGCAAGACGGCGAAGATTTCGGAAAGGATCAGAAGATATGGGATATGCCGTGTCTCTCGAAGTAGGTGTCAAAGATATTTTTTTCACAATATTTTTGCAAAACTTTGATTATACTTGGTGCAATTTTTCCAGTAAAATAATCGCATTGAAGAAACATTATCAAATACACTATACATTAGTTATATAATATTATCCTTTAAAAAAATTCTTTCTTAATTCGATTTAAATGTCTGTTTCAAATTGAATATATCTACTTTATAATTTCACCTTTTCGTCTAATGGAATGCTTTTTAGCGTAGAGTAAGCATATTGTTTGTTGTAGAAATGTCGCATTTATATATATTTTCTTTTTAGAAAAAAACCTGTAGATGTGGAAGTGCCGACGGTAGCTGTCTTCCGGACGTTCGAACGCAGCAGCTTCCGAAGTTCTATGAGAGCATCCATTCGCGGAGAGACCTTGAGGAGCAGCATGATACAAAGATCGAGTATAAGATCGCGGAAGAGCGTGAATACGGCCACAGAAGCACAAAGATCGAGCATAAGATCGCGGAAGAGCGTGAATGCGACCACGGAAGTGGAGAGCAAGTGAATAAATACTCCGAGAGACGCAGCCCTGATTTTCGACATGCTGACGCATTTTTTCTCTCTCTCTCTCTGTCTCTCTCTCTCTCTCTCTCTTCCGTTATTCTTTCCTTCAGAATTGTGTGATACTGGAGCTACCAAAATCAAATTATACATACGTCTGTATCCAACCGCCAATGACAGTTTTAGATTGAGGAAAAGACAAAGTGGAGCATTACTCTAGCTCGTTCTATTAAATTTACTTAATTAGAGGAGGGGAGGGTTGTTGTAATTAATTTTAAGTATCGACAGTATAGAGAAGTAGAAACGTCAATTAGAACACTGTTAGATCAAAAGAGCAATATGGTAACGCAATTCCTTTGAGTTAAATAATATTTTGTTATTTTTAACTTTTTATATATTGATGTCAAAGTGTAAATCAATACATTTTTGTAATTGGTCAAAGTAAACGTCATTCTTACTAATGTATGCATTTAGTAAATGATAAATTATATTTAAGTCAAATTTAATATATTTTCTTGAGTTAAATTGTTTGACTCCATTATTTTAGTCAAATTAATGATATATTGGATAGGAATAGAGCTTGTAGAAATAAATTGGGTATAATTTGACATTATGAATGTAACTACAAATTTAATCAGATTAGATAAAATTTCATTAAAACTTTAATTGGCTATTCTATTTCTCTGAAGATTACAGAACCCTTTCGATTTTCTTTATGACATTCTAAACCTTTTATGTGTGACATCTTTGAAATCCGACTTGGATTTCGAGTAAATAGATAGGGACTCTTACTCGCAGTCATATAATGTTAACGCAAGTCTACGATTTTTTTTATTACGAACTTATATATAGTTTTATCACGTTTGTATTTAATAGAAAGAAGAAAACTGAAAGTTGTGTATGAGTTTGGAAACGCGTGAAGTTTCGAAACTCTTGTTTGTTCCTTACGAAAATGTACGTCCTTCGAGAAAAGGAAAAAGAGAGAAACTAATATATTTTCAGATGTTACCGTTCCGATCCCGCAGGTGGGAATCATATTGAGAAGTAGATGAGAAATAGATAGAAGATAAATATGTACTCCAGACAATGCGAGAACTGCATTTTACATAAATTGATCGCGTCGCTGCAGCTGCGACTCGTCACTCTGTTGCTCACGTACACGTATAGTATATAATACAATGTACATAGCAGATGCGAATCAAATTTTTGAATTATCTCAAATGACGCGACTGGTTGCGCGTTGAATGCAGATGAGGATCGCGCGCCCTGAATGGGGAATTTTCGAATAAAACAGCTTTATTGTGATAACACGCGTATCAGCAATGTCTTCCCGTCATCAAGAACGTTCACTTAGAAACATTTTCTGCTGAAATTCAGATCTCGAGATTTGTGTACATACATAAATAGTATTTCTAATGTAAATAAGAACATTAAATTAATTTGTATTTCCCGTCGATTTATGTTAATAAACGTAAACTAATATTCAGTTTGGATGGATAATTACTGTCACGGTCGCCTTTGATTAAAAGGCGCTAATATTGTTGACGAAGGCATGTGATTATTAATGAATGGTAACAATTATCGACAGCTTCTCGATTGCAAACGAGAGAATTATGTTAGTTTAATTGTTTCACGCTACTGCATTGACTATTATCGTCGACTCGACAAATCTACAGTAATATCGAGCACGATGAAATGTCTAATACAGACAATGGGATCATTAATAAGCCACATACATAATTTAAGCTTTATCACTGCATTGCGGTCGACCGACAATTCATCATTGCCCGTGGAATTTCAGGACCTGTTCAACGAAACTGCTATTCATCACATTCTAACGCGAAGGCTTAGAATCAGGAAAGCGAGCCTCCTTATCTCGATTTCGTGACATTAAGATCAAAGAACAAATGCACGATCGATATAACGAACGTAGTCATTAACATTAAACATTCGTGACAACGTGAATTGCTAATATCTGGGCATCATTCGAAATATATGAGAGTTTTCACTGATAACTCACGTTACCAGTTGATGAGCCGTAAGAGAAACGAAAAAAATTATTCGATCTGGAAAGCAAATATTCACGTTTTTAAATCAAGCTTTATCAAAATTCAGTGAAAATTTGGATAAAGGCAACCATTCCATCTATAAAGACTATTTAGTTTTCTTTTCCTCTCTTTAAATGTACAATATTAATATAATATAAATTTCCCTAAAGTCGCGTTGTACATGATAACAATAAACTGTAAGGCTAGTGATACGCTAAACTTCCGTAACAATAATCTTTACCAACTCTTTTATAATTACTACTTACAATTAGTTTATTAATTTTATAATTAATTAATTATTCTATATATTATTAATAGTAACAAAGACTTTTCAAATAGTTCAATATGACACACTTTTTGCATTTTGCAAATTCTTGAAAAGAAATTTCCATCAAATTTATTATCATAGCATTTAAGTGGAACAGTGGTCAAGGCTTCATGTTTAAGTAGTAGAACGCTTATCGACCTCTGCGCGTGGTTTATTTCTGGCTTGCAAGTTTGGCTCGTTCGAAACGTTGGCACCAACAGCACGCCAGATATTGTTGCGAATTCATAGGTAGAGGTACGAGAATTGCGTGAATGTCGACAACCGATTTGTGCGAGTGACGTCTGAACCAGATTCTATGTGCAAGACACTCGTATATGAATGGAGATCAGAGTCATTTCGTCATATCGTCTTCATTAATAAACATTGATGGTAAATATTTTAATAATACAATCAAAAAGTCGCCTATTCGATATTCATCGTGAAATTATTCGAAATATAGAATAAGCATTAATTATTACATTATCATTTTTATTTCTGATTCCATGTGACATTTATCTCGATATTGTAATTTAACGTTGCTGTGTAAAAAGTCAATGTAAGCAACAATGGAAGATTTTTCGGTAAGTCAATAAAAATACAGAATAAAAAGAATACACCAATTCTGTAGCTCCTTCAACGATTTTTTCTGCTTCGTTTCTTTAATACACTTCTTTTTTTAATTATCTTTGAAAGATCTGTGTATAAATGTTTATATTTTTGCGATGTGTCTTTTTCACGATAGTTTTATTATAATAGAAATAAAATAAATAATTAATATTAGTAGAAAAAAAATGGCTTATTACAATTAAAACTTTTTTATTTTGATGACACAAGCAATTTGTCTGTTTTTATTAGTTGCAAAAGAATAATAGAGTCATCGTATTTCTGTTTTAATTTTATCGGTCGGAAAAAAATATTCCTTCTTGCATTCCTTCGTATTCCGCACATGTTCACTTTTGTTTGAAATGTGCAACGTCAAATGTTAAATCATTCTTCTAGACAGAATGTAAATTTAATGACTACCATAATTCTTCTTTTTAAAGACGTCTGTTCTCAAGGATATTAGCTTTAAGCGCTCTATAGGAAATACAGATTCATCACTGACAACAAATTTTGATCGCTATCGTGCGTGGAACTTTCATCACTTTTGTTCGCGTGTATATTGCCAAGGCTGTATCGATTTTTCCCCTCAGTCGAATAGCAAATTTACATACAATTTCACTGGGAAAAACGCAAGTTTTCTATGTATACATTGACGAGTGTGTCGAACGAATCCTGTTACGAACGAATCTTTTATGCTGTGCGCTTAACAAGAAGAAAGTTCGAGTGTAGTTACGAAACGAGGTCGAGTAATAGATCGCTACAGTTGTAAGGGATATTGTATCATACGTACGTCAAAACCACGAAATCAGTTCTTTCGCAATAGGATAAATTTTCATTCCTTGCACGTCTTTGTATCTACTATACCAGACCGACGGTCTGTTTCAATAAGATTTTTTCCAATCAAATTTTTTCTTACGCCATCATAAAATTCAAAATAACGTGATTCCTTTACGTTCAGATATCGTGCATTGAACCGTGATCGATCGAGAATCGACGTCTCTACATGCAGATATCTAGATTTTGCATCTAATTCACAAATATCTAGAGAAAATGATATTTAAGACTCTTCTTCCTTTTCGAATTTTGGAAATGTCTTTTCTTCAAAATCTCAACTATAACAACGAAATCCGAGACGCATGGAAATCTGTAATCGATATCCAGTTCTTTTCTAATGTAGATTAACTTTGATCTCGGTTTAATACTCTTACTTTTTGTAATATTTTTGAGACTTTTCCTTCTAAAAAACAATCATGTCACAAAGTTACATAACGAAATAATGTAATTAGGGCAAGTAATTCACGTAATAGTTCTAAATCAGTACGTGATTTTTTAAATCATGTTTTTTCTTCTATTTCTATTATTCAATACTTTAAAATTTGATAATTATAAAATCACATAATGATGAGTGAAATTATTTCTAACATTATATGCAATTTTTAAAAAACTACGTACTGATTTGGAACAATCTAGCTGTTACATGATTCTCATCTTAATTACATATGATTTTATTATGTAATTTTGTGATGTGATTTTTTTAAGTAGGCTTTTCTTTGGAGAGGATTTGCGGGTTATCGCCGTCTTGTAATATATTGCTAATACCAATTTTGCAGTTTACTTCATCAGGGCGAGAAGCGCACTGATACTTGTTATCTTGCGTAATTTCCGGAATAAGAGAAAGATAACGAGTAAGTTATAAACTGAGATTAAGTTAATTTACATTGCTAGAAATGGACATAATTCGCGCATCTATCTCTCTTTATCCTAACACGACGACGGATCGTTCCTCTGTCGTTGTCTTCTCTTTTACTGCTCGTGATTCTCAATACAAGCGCATAAGTGTTATGTATAATATATCGCGTTTCGCATGCCGAGCTCCTATATCAACAGTACTCAATCGGGTTTCCTTTTCAGACGCAGCGAGCTGTACTTCGCGTAAAAGCTTCGTCATTACTGTCATCGCTTAATCATCGTTTTGTGTGATTCGCATTCGATTGTAAAAATACCGCTACAGGTGATAACTGTAGACGTTAAAAATTACTTAGTGGTGTGACACTTCATATTTACAATTACGTTACATTTACAATTATCGACAATTATTACAAATTATCAGTTAATTTGTAATAAATAATTTGGTGGTTTGTGACGCTTATATCGATATACTTTCTCGCAATATTTCTTCTGCAACGTGGGACTTTAAGTGTAATAAATTATAAAATTGACAAAAATTAAAAATTGAATATACGACAAGCGCATAAATAGTGTAATAAAAAATAAAAGTGTAAGTATTAATGGTTTTAATACGATGGTTCCGTGCAATTAATTCTTGGATACGTAACTTAATTATTAAAACTTGAAAATTTACAAAAGCTCAAACAGTACAGAAATTATTCCGACTCAAAGATAAGTACAGATAAGTAAGGGCAAAGATAAGTGTAATGTCGAAAGATAAGCTTTCTCTAAGAAATAGAAGAAAAAGAAAAAGAGGAAGAAAAAAAGAGAAAGTTTTAGTGAATATACGTGCTATAAATCTGCAATAACTACAATTAAAGGTATCGTAAAAAATGTGAGAATACAGAGGTTAGGATATTCTATATAGACACTCTTATTATATATCCAATTTTATGTTTAAAATGAAGTTTAGGCAATGTGTTAAGACACATAGAATCATCGATCGAATATTAGTAACTAACTTCGTACAAAGTATTTATGTCGTCGTGTATTTGTATAAATATAGACATGACATTTATTTTTACGTAAAACAACGTTTATTTCGAAAACATAAGTAACGAATAATTATATTTAATTGCACAAAACTGTTCTGCAACAATATTAGCTATACTATTCGTAATTACTTAAATGAACAGTTGGCAGAAAGACGGTTATAATGTGAGTATTTTACATTTTACAAATATTTACGTGTGTGTTCAGTTCTGCGTTATTTTGATGCTTATACACGCAATTGTATGCACGCCATGTAGAATATTTTATTATATATTAGATTTATAAATCTCTAAGGTTCTTATTCTTATATGATTATTACTTTCACGCTTGATCCCGAGCCGTTTCGGATTGAAGAATTACTTACATACCGTTTTGGCGACTACATTTTAATCAACGGCAACTGGCGATTGGGCTACTGTATTAAGTAGCCTAATTGGCGACCTGTAGCCTAATCTGGCCACGATCTATTCTGTTCAAAAATTATTTTCGTCACGTTATCAGGTCGACGTCAGTTTACTTTGTGATCGGCCGCGCCATTATTTACGTCGGCATTGACCCTTAGCCACAATTTTTTATATCTTGTCGCTTTTAACGTCAATTTTTATATATATTTTTTTGGAGAGCTTGTCACAGATACACATAATCGCCAAGAGTCACGGACGCGATGTTTTCAGTTCTCAAGAATAAAAAAATAATGACGTTAACATTGTTCACGAATAGGAATTTCTGCAGGCGTTAGATTTTTGGGAAAATAAAGTATATACGAAATATATCCGAGTTATATTAGTGTCGTTTTGTGTGATTTCATAATATAAGCTATTTATAATTTGCTTGCAGCGCGTGGTAATAAATAACATTAATCATTTAGAAATCATTTAAATATTATAATAATAACCAGGGCTTTTTGATAAAATAATAATAAACTAAAAGAAACATCTAAACCCATGCAAGACTTTAGTTGTGAATTATTCTATTTATTTAAAAATCTCATAAACGTTTAGTTATACATTAGGCCATCTTTAGTGTGTTATTCTGTTTCAAATTCTATTTGTTACTGAGAAGCGCTAATTGTTGTTGATGTCCCTCATCAAATTGAATCGATTGTATAAGCATCAAGAGGTCGCCTTCTTTAAGAGGTTCCAAAAATTATCTCCAATTATACGCCTCAGCCAAACGAAAAAAACTATATTTGTTGTGGTTTTTTTCCGATATTACATTGTTATTCCAGTTATCGCCAGTTTACATTTCAGCCACACGTAAAACTATCATTTTATTTTTTTTTCCTTAATATTACATTTTACAGAGAAGTTGCAAATTCTAAAGATTTCTTTGTCATAAAGATAAAATACTATTTATTTTATCTTTATGATAGATAAAAAATAATATTGAAGAAAATACATAACGGAATGATAGTTTTATGCGTAGCTGAAATCATGGTGGAATAATACATGATGTGTATTATTAGCAACATAGTTGAGTTTTCGTTCTTTTTCGCACAGATCCCCAACTGACGTCATCAATCAGTCTGCCATTTGTCTATGTCGTTTGATATATGTACATCATCATAACAATACATATTAGACTGCGCACAATTGAAATAGTTAAATTTATAATTTTTTGCGTAGTAATAAAAAAATGTATAAAGTTATAAATAAAAAATAGTTTTTGGTAAAGCAATTTTTAATCATATCTATCAACATAATTCCCCATATTGTACGTTTTATAATTATTTTATTAGCATAAAGTGAAAATATATTTATTTTTTCACACATTTATTGAAATATTATAAGACAGAATAAATTCATATTTTAAATTACATATATAATATTATATAACTTGAAGATTATATCGGAAAGCATTGAAATGTCAAAATATTTTAATAACTAACAAATTTTAATTACTGTGTGTGACAAAAGTTCACACACCAAACATCAAATAATAATAAAATCAATTAAAACTCCTTACAATTCAAAAACAAATTGGAGAGAATAAAGGGCAATAGGAGTCGGGAGCAGAAGACGTCGCGCAATTAAAAACACCACTACTAAGTGACAAAAATCATTTATTCAAAATCTTTCTTGTATTAGATAGTAGCGCTCTTATTACATGTTTCAGATAACTTTTTAGCCCTCTTCAGAAAAACAAACTAATTTACATAAAGATTCAATACACTTTTTCAATCAACGGTGAGCTCCTCCACGTCGTGATAATTAAGATACAGAATAAGTAACAAACACAATTAAATGGATAAAAAAGAAAAAGAAGAAAAACGGGAAAATTGAAAATATCAGAAATAATAAATTGTGAGAACTAATTTCCAAAGAGCTAAGATTATAATAAATCATCCCGAATAAAGGAACTCACCACGATTATAAAGTACCGCATCGTAAATAATACCAAATTAATTAAAAATCCGTTCTCACAATATGCTGATCAGTCAATGTCAAAACAGTAAGTCAATTAATCAAATTTGGTCCAAGGTATAGAATGAAAGAAAGCAGACAATCCACAAAAGCCAAAACGACTCATTACCGTGTATATATAGCATTGATGATATTAGTCAATACTATACATACACATAGTAATGAGTCGTTTTGGCTTTTGTGGATTGTCTGCTTTCTTTCATTCTATACCATTGACTAAATTTAATTAATTGACTTTCTGTTTTGACATTGACTGATCAGCATATTGAGAACCGGTTTTTAATTAATATTAGTATTATTTACGATGTGGTACTTTGTAATCGTGGTGAGCTTCTTTATTCGGGATGATTTATTATAATCTTAGTTCTTTGGAAATTAGTTCTCACAATTTATTACTTCTGATATTTTCAATTTTCCCGTTTTTCTTCTTTTTCTTTTTCATCCATTTAGTTTTGTTTGTTGTTTATTCTATATCTTAATTATCACCACGTGAAGGAGCTCACCGTTGAATGAAAAATTGTATTGAATAGTTATGTAAATTAGTTTGTTTTTCTAAAAAGAGCTAAAAAGTTAACCGAAACATGTATGAGCGCTATTATCTTAATACAAGAGAGTTTTTTGAATAAATGGTTTTTGTCACTTTGTAGTGGTGTTTTTAATTGCGTGACGTCTTCTGCGCTCGACTCCTATTACCTTTCATTCTCTCTAATTTGTCTTTCAAAACATCAAATATATATATATATATATATTTCAAAAAATATTAATATTCTTTATATCATCTACTGTATGTTTTGTATTTTTGTCTTATGTTTTGTTTAAATATTTCTAATTTTATATTTTTATTTTTAAACAATAAAAAGTAAATAAAATTTTTTTATTTTTCATTATTAACACGAAGAATCAATAAATTAATTATTAAAAATTGAATATTGAATTGTTTATTTAAAAATTAAAAATTAAAAATTAAAATTATATAATTAATAAAATATAATTATATTAGTTGTTTAATAATTAAGAAAGATTTAAGTAAGACATATTTTTTGTGTTACATATTTTTACATTTGAATGTAGTGCCAATAAACGTGACGTAAACTGAGATTTGATTGGTTCAAATAATAAAGCTGCGTTCGGACACACCATGTGTTTTATTCCACCATGGTTGAAATGTAGACCGACAATAATTTGAGTAACAAAATGTAATAACGGAAAAATCAATCGGTAGGTTTTATTTTTGTCTGAGGCTGTGACTGGAAATAATTTTTGCAACCTCTTAAAGAAAGCGACTTTCGATGTTTAGACGATAACTGATTTAATTTGATGAAGAACATTGTTATAACATGGTTAATGTATCTCGGTAACAAAAATTTAATAAACAATAAATAGCGGATGCGATAAGTAATGGCGTTGTTTCAATTCTTAATTTTATTTAAAGCGGAAAAGAACGCTGGAGAAGGCCTAATATACCACCGACATTTGTGAGATTTTTAAATAAAGATTTTATAGAATGATTCGTGTGTAATTATTAAGATCTTGCGTGGGTTTAGATGCCTTTTTTGTTTATTATCATTTAAATATAACTGTTATTTGCAATTAACAAGGAATTCAGAATTTACATATATAGTAAAATATAGCAAAGTTCTTGAGTTAGCAGGTACGTTCCGAAAATATTTAATGCTATTATGTATTTTCAATATTCTCCGATATACAGCGTCTAATACATATATTTATCTACGTAACATACAATATCATCTGCATTATCATTATCATATTAAATATAAAAGCGATGTTCACTAATCCTGTGCCGGATCGTCAAACTTGTGCTTGATCATCGTTATTATCTGGATCAAGACGCGTGTAACGAGCCACTTGATCCCGTCACGTTCGGCCAACACTAGTTGCTCAGATCGCTTCGACTCAAATCGTATGACATCTCTCTACGAAGCTATATATACTCAAACTGTAGTCAAACGGACTTTGTACCGCAGTCCTAAATCAATTGTAATAGAAGCAATTCAAAGAATCCGCTTATTTTTATCGGATATTTTCTCGATTTACTTAAATTGTGTAATTTATCACTTATAATATATTATAAGGCAAACATTAAATTGTGCCAGCGAGAGTTTCTTTCACCGCAAAGTAAATATTTTGATCTGTTTGGGTGTTAAAATAATGTACATGATCTTCAGTTGTGTATAATTACTATTAGTTTTAATTATATTATTCTTCTCTCTTTTTGGATATTTCTTAAATTAAGCTTTTCTCTATATAATTTGAGATTAAAATATTTCGAACAATTTTAAAAGTTCTTTTTTTTTCAGTTTGAGTTTATTTTCTTCTTTTCTTTCTTGAACTTGGATCGCCAAGTGTAAATCAATCGTATCAAATATTGGCATCCCTTAGGACGATGAAGAATTCAAACAGCATGAAGAACCCTATAGATACCGCAGATCCGGATGAAAGAATTACGTTAAGGGCAAAGTTGGAGACCTTCGACGACATCTTACCGTATGTTGGCGACTTTGGCAGATATCAATGGTTGCTTCTATTGGCCTTGCTTCCCTACAGCGTGACATACGCCACCCTGTACTTCTCGCAGTTCTTTCTTACTCTGGTGCCGCAGGAACATTGGTGTAAAATAGAGGAACTAATGTTTTCAAACTTCACACAAGAAGAAAGGTAAGATTTAATTGCATAACAATGGCATTCGTTAAGATCTCAAACCAAAATGATATATTTTATTTTATTTCTAACATAACTATTATCCAAAGTAATAAATAAATAAAATTATTATAATTAACTGTCAGTAACCAATATAGCTAACCAAAAGCTACAATATTTCTGATGCTTATTCAATTAAAACATTTATTATCAAGTTACACTAAACAAAGTACGTTTCAGAACTTACACTGGTCCTTCTTTAGTTAAATTTAAATATAGTAATAAAATAATGAAAAAAATATATATAAATTCTAAAAATGGACTCCTTATAATTAAATATAACAATGACATTTTAAGCTGCTATTTAGGAGTCAGCGCAGTAAGAAGAGCGCAACTATTAAATTATAAAATATATTTTACTATAGTCTGGAAGTTACAAATATATTTGGACGTTTCGACCATTGGTTTTAGCTATCCTCAGCAAAAATTATAAAATATAACACAGTATCTTAATTCCGTTGGTTTTGTTCATCACACATTTAAATTGTCAAGGTTTTGTAATCCATACGGCAAGCACAATCATTCGCCCTTGAAATTAATAAGCTTCGTAGTGACATGATTCTGTTTCTTCCAAAAACCCGTGGAAAACAAAAATAAGTTAAAACTAATTCACAATTTGGAAGAATCATTGTCAGTTTGAATGTGATGGAGAGACGTTCTTCTAAACTTTCTTAAGATATACATGTACACAACGATTATGCTTAATTTAATTTTACGTTACACCAAATTTAGTAACCATTTGTAACCAAAATATAAATTATAATTTATGATGTCACATGTTAGAACAAGGGATCTTGATACTGAGCGCCTTATCGTCATCGATTCATTTGAATTCATTTGAATTCATTTAAATTCATGCGTTGACGACGATAAGACGCTCAGTTTAAGATCCCTTGTTCTAACACGACATTATAATTTATACTTTGACTACGAATAGTCCCTCGACTTTCACTTGTTAATAAAGATTTTGTTGATCACCAGTTATTATAATCAATGGACAAATTATAAAGTTGGAAACAGACTCGTCAATGGAAAAATTGTTAAAATTTGTATGTAAAATGTAAAAACCATATATAACTACACTTCTACAACACAGAATGATGTTTCAAACATCAAAATCATCAAACATAAAAATTCGTTTCATCATTTGTGATAATTTTATTATAGATTTCAATCACAAAAATTGTTACCATACGTAATTATGTTGATAATTAATTGTTAGTATATTTAAATTTAGTTAAAGAAGGATCTCAGTTCCAAAACTTTATTTAGTGTAACATGATAATAAATGTTTTAATTGACAACTGAAATATTACAGCTCCATTACTGATCGTTAATTAATTTAATTTATTTATATATACATATAATATATCTCTTTAATGCGAGCGATATCATACGTTTAAGAATATTATTATTATTATAAATAATGTGTTACTATAATTTGTTTAAAAAATTTAGATTATGAAACAAAGTTGTTTTAAAAGTGGCCTTAAACTTTCTCTTTCTCTTTGTACGCATGTTATTATCTTCTTATTATCTCCAAAAATATATTTCGTACATTAGAAATCAATGCTTTCAGAGTGGAGATTGGCGTACCAAAGTCGCAGAATTATCCGTACTACGACCAATGTCATCGAAGGGATTTGGACTTCTTCACTCTTCTAGATCATAGGAAGGACATTCGTTCGATCGAATGGAAGGCAAACAAAACCGTGGATTGCAACCAATGGGAATACAATTTCACGCAGATCCCTTATGCTAGCATAGCGACTGAGGTGAAGTATCCTTGAGTGCGTTATTATGTGTATAAAATATGTAGAAGACACGAAGAGATCATCAAGATTCACGAGTACTCTTGTGAAACAGTTGTGCGATTAACTCAGATTACATGCGATCTTTCCCGTAATTCTGATTGTAATCCATTGCAGAACGATAATACGCGAATAATCGACAAAAGAGAATGAAATATGATAAAAATAAATTTTGCGTAACTCTCAGGTAAACTCTTGTAAACGCAGAAATGTGGCAAACATTGTGTTTCTTGTGTAATTTCAATCGTAATCTACTGCAGAACGATATAAGATAACTGACGAAAGATAAAAAAATAATAATAACTCAATAAACATTAATTAAAAGTAATATAATGACATCAAATGTCATAATTGCACGCTCAACAATATAAATGCAATATAATATAATATATATTATATTATAACAGATACATAGTTGAGTGTAAAATTATATTAGACACGTTCAGCAGATAAAACAGCTCTACAACTGTTGTGAAATTCTTTAATATGACTAACTTTGTCTTTGTTAATTCCTCACTGGATCTAAATATATAAACTAATCATATTGACAAATTTTACAACAGTTGCTGCTTTCTCTGCTGAACGCAGCTATTAATGTTGTTACTTTTAATTGGTGTTTATTATAAGTAAGATAAAAATAAATTTTGCGTAACTCTCTCCCGTAAATATAGAAACGTAGTACATGTTGCATTTTTCCACGCACTGATTCTGGACCCTTTGTGATTAGCTAGATTGGGTATGTGACCAGGAGTATCTCATATCAACGGCACAGTCGATCTTCTTCGGCGGTTCCATCGTCGGTGGCTTGCTCTTCGGATGGATCGCTGATCACAGAGGCAGGATCCCTGCCTTGATGCTCTGTAACGGCATCGGACTTCTGGCTTCGATCGCAACTGCGAGCGCGAATAATTTCTGGTCCTTCGCTGTCTGTAGATTTCTCACTGGTCTGGCATTCGACAATTGCATCAACATTCCGCTGATTATCGGTGAGCGATCAATAAGAAATCAATAATCAATCACGCGATGGCAATTGTCCGTATTGCTTACACTAAAACTTACTTTTTCATTCTTTGATTAATTTATGTTTAAACTTGATCTAATAATAATATAAAAATTGTATTTTTCTAGCTATAGTTTAATCATTAAACTAATAATTTTGTAGTGAGTATAAAACGTTGAGTATTTTTATCTTTCTATAATGATAATTTTTTTATGTGTTATAATTTCAAAGCTGCCATTACAATAATACTATTAGTTTAGTGATTAATTGTGGCTAAAACAACACAAGTTTTTTATTATCAAATTAAGTGAGGTTAAACCTAAACCACACCGTACTGAAAAACATCATATCACAAGTTGCATAACAAAATCATGTAATTAAAATCATGTAACGGATTGTCGTAATCAGTACGTGATTTTTTTTATTATATAAATGTGATTGTATTAGATCCGTTTTATGAATATTTATGGGTACTAATATTACGGCAACTCTCTCATTTCGTATGTAATTTTATTATTAGCTGTTTTGCGTAAGTTATTAATATTTTGCATGTCTTCTTTTTTTTATTGGTCTTTTGGCAGAGACATATAGTAGCTTCTTCTCCAGATACATGAAACATATAATTCTTTTAAATGCCAATTTTGAAAGATTTATTGAAAGAGGTCGTATATTAATTAATCTATTAAATTGAATATTTCCGTACCTTTATAATTTTGGTTAATGAATCAAATTCTGAATCTCGCCAGTGCTTGAGTACATGGCCGTGAAGAGGCGGACCCTTGTCGTTAATATTGCATTTGGCATATACTTTGCCGTTGGAAGCACAGTTCTGCCATGGATTGCGTACTACATCGCAAACTGGAGATTCTTCGCCTATATTAGCGCAATCCCGATGATGAGCGTCTTTATCACGCCATGGATTCTTCCCGAAAGCGCTCGGTAAATAAATATGATACGAATGATCAATTTATTCCACTCAATCTTTTAAATCTCGCACAAATTGAACTTCCATTATAAATATATAATAATTATTCATGTATGGAATTTTATAATCAAAACATTGGAAAAGGATTTCATATATCTCCAATTGAAATCAAATAAATCAAGTTTAAATGAATAAAAGGAACAAAGCTATAATGCGAGTACGGTGCAGTAATCAAAGCGCAATTAATTTTGCAAATCAGACATATTTTAATATAAATTAAAATGAAATTTACAATGATCCTTAAATACAGCGCGGCAGTTTCTAAAGATCGCTCTTAGAAATTCATGCAGTTATAAGCTCGTTTCGCTGTTATTCGCGTCCTGTCCTGCATTCTCCGAACTTTCCACTGAACTATAGAACACTGTTTTGCTATTAAGATGGTTCGTTGCCAACGGCAGAATAGATAAAATGGTGCAGAAGCTAAGGCGGATAGCGAAGATCAACAAGAAGTACCCTGACACGCGCATCTTCGAAGTTTTCGTCGTAAGTGAGATTGATAATGAGATGTAAAGCTGGAGACGTGAGAATGTGACACAAATTACGCATCATCCACCTTATCGCATTACAGAGAAATTTGACCACGGCTGATACCCAGAGGGAAAGCGCGACCATCTTTGATATTCTGAAATCGCCGCGTCTAACAAAGAATACCATTTTACTAATTTTTTTTTGGTAAGAAGCAACTTCATTTCCCTTTTCCGTCTTATTGTATTCTTCTTTTTTATAAATTTTATTAAATAAAATAATTTTTAGGATATGTAATATAAATACACAACAAATAGAAAATAAAAGCTCTATACAGTCAAGCTGGATCTTTAGTGTTGAAATAATTCGATGTGAATTTATATACTCATATTCGCAATCCTACAAACTACACGTTGAATTATCAGTCTTAAAGCGGAATCTTAACAGAACTAAAGTAGTAATAATATTACAAATTAAATTGACAAACAATTTAATAATATTGATGCTTATAGGCATCTTAGAAAAATTTTAATAATTTGATGCTAATAAACATCTTAAAAGCTGTAAATAATTTTATTGCAAAAAATATCTCAACCTTTTTCTTTATTCAAAATATTCTTTTTTATTTCGCAGAATATTAATTGTTTAATATATCATATTCCATCTCACAAGGAGATATATTTTAATGTAGTCTCTTTTTCCGGATATAAATGGGAAAGTTTTACTGAAGTATCTAAAAATTTAGCTAGAAATGGATCTAAAGAAAAATAATTTTGCTAGACTCTTAAAATAATTACGTAGCAAACTCAAGCATGATTAACAATACTGTATAAAGTTTTAACATTCTATAGCAACCCGCTTCAGTCCTATGAATATATAGGCAATTTGATTATTTTGATGGTGCAACAAAATTGTTTTCGGATCCACGTAAATTCTCAGATATAGATGCTTTAGAAAAATCGTTCTTCCCGTGTAACTTCAGAGTTTGACGGGAGTATTAGATCTCATCCGCTAAATTTATACTGCGCTACTACTTCGGAGAGCGGACGGTATATTCCACTTTCCACTTTAATGCATTAGATACGTCGCGTACGACGACGAAGTTACGGATGTACTTTCGGTACTTTCTAGGTCCTTGACGGTGATAGCTTTCGACAGTCACGTATACTCCCTCAAGCTGATCCCGAGTTCGGTGTTTGTGTCTTTCTCCCTCGCCTGCTCGACCGAGCTGCCGGCCGGGCTGTTGCTGACGTTGCTGTTGGACCGCTGGGGTCGCCGATTCTGCGGATTTATCACCATGGCCATGACTTGCCTTTTCAGCTTCGCCGAACTGCTGTTACACTCGAGTGAGCACATACACACGGGCTTTCAAATAAAATCAAACGGTCCGCAATCGCGCCACAATCTCTCATGTCATGCGTTTCATTGTTCAGTCGCAGCAAAGCTGACGATGTCGGTGCTCTCGCGATTTTGTCTGAATATGGCAGCCAATGTGGGCCTTCAATACGCCGCCGAGTTGCTGCCGACTCCAATTAGGACGCAAGGTGTTGCATTGATCCACATCTTTGGTATTATTGCCCATTCCATAGCGCCATATGTGGTGGATAGTGTAAGTGATTTTTTATATTTTTCAGTTATGTGAACAAAGCATATTATAGAATTATGATGCAACTGTTTCACATTATATGCATGTCCATGTAATTACTAGTATTATTAGAAAAGGATTATTACATATTATAGAATAATGGAATTACATTAAAAATATATATTCTATTATAAATTTTTATAGTCATTATTTGTAATAAAATGTAGTAGATGTAATAATTAAAAAAGTTGATTTATTTATTACATTTTAATGAACGAATATTCTATCGCATGTCACATCGCATTATTTAATTGTTTTTGCGTGTTTAAATCGTACATACATATTTCGTCAATATGAAATAAATATTGATAAAAATACTGAACTCCAATTAAAGACAAAAATGCAATCTCTAGTCACGCGTCATTTGGTATTTAGTCAATCAATCGAAATTGTTTCAGGCCAAGGTTTGGTACGGGCTGCCAATGATGATCATCAGCATTGTGTCGTTTGCAGCCGCTGCCCTAATATTGTTCCTGCCGGAGACGCTCGGTCGCGATCTCCCGCAGACTCTACGTCAGGGAGAGGACTTCGGCAAAGAACAAAGCTTCTGGACGCTACCCTGCTGCGAGCGACCGCGTTCGAATCGACATCGATATTATCATTCAACCGAACTATAGTCATTTTAATTTTAATTACATAAGACCTCGACGTAATCGTCGAGAAAATATATTTAAAAGAAAAACGAAAGGATCTTCCCAGTGAGAAATGATAATGGAATCGACATCGATTCGACGTCGGTTCCATTGTCATTTCTCACTGGGTTGCGCGATACGTGATAACATAAATAATTAAGGTTTGTATTAATTAATAAAGTTTAGAGATAAGAGAATGATCTTCCAATCGAGGAGCATTTTTAGAATTTACTTTTGAAAGTAAATACATTATAACAAAGTTTACAAGAAATTAAAATAACTTGTTCTTTTATTTTACACTGTTACTCGATCACTTTTAGATGGCAATAGTGTGAAATGGTATTAATATCTTTCAATTTACAAAGAAACTTCCATATTTGGCAGTGAAAGATGAGAAAAATGTGTCTTTATGCAACGAACGTCGTACCAGCCTATATATGTACATTATAAATTATCGAAGATCTACTTACATAGTTAATTCATTTCCTATCGCCACTGGCAACTTCGCAATAACTCTTGAAGTCCTTGATGATACATCAAGAAAACGACGGCAGTCCTTTTATTTGTTCGTATAGTTTATCTAGCCCATTGTATCCTTCCAAGATAACAAAGCAACCTTCATATTTAAATCTCGGTACGAAAAATGAGTTGTCTTTTGCGTCGACGAAGTTGAGGCGTCATTTTTCGAAAAGGCAAAAAAATAATGAACAAAGAGATGAACATCCCTTTATCATTTTTAATTCCGTTGAGTAGCAAACGAAAATATGAATATTTATTGTATATGTATGTAATATTTACGTTTACTAGCGAGTAAACGAAACACGGCATTTGGCACATCAGGCTTTACTCTGTATAACGTAAAAAATTAGATTCATTGATACATTACATCGATCTCTCGGTGATACGGAGAAGTCAGCTCGCTCATCACTTCAGTCTCGCTAAAACTACACTTAATAAAATAGCTTTGTACACACAGATGCATCCCGAAAAAGAGCGATGCATCGAACGTCGAAATCGCATTGCGAGGAAACGATTCGGAAAAGTAATCTGGTATTCTCGACAGTCGCATCGACTTCGAAGTTGCTCATTCACGTTCATGTTCGTGTCCATCCAAATGTACACCTCATTCTCCCCACTGGATGCATGGATGCAATTGAATTCTTACTTGGTTTTTGCGTTCCACTCCACCATTGAGCATTACTGCACTTGACATGTCCATTATGTCACTCAGTTTAACATATAAAATCACACACTCATATTTACAACAAAAAGATTTGTTAAATTATCACGCAGACGATCGTTATAATCTTGTACAGTCGATAGTTTGAATACTACCGTGATGGAAAGCCGCATTCGTCAGGCCTTCCTTCGTCTTCTTCTTCCTCAATGATTTCTTTAATTTCGGGGTTCTGCAAAAATTTCGAAGGTAAGGAGATAAAACAAAATTATTAGGAGATAAAAATACAAAGAATTTTGATATTTTTTTTTTATCCGAATTCAACGCGAAAAGGATAAGAAAAATTAAGAAAGGAATGAGGAGGGGGGGGGGAGAGAGAGAGAGAGAG